AAATTTTTTTTGGCACTAACTTCTGCGGGGGGAGGGGGGGTATCGCCAAATTTTGCAGGTCACGTGACCAATTTGAAAGTGGAATAACTCGTCAACAAGAGCAGATAGAAGGTCATTGACATGGGCGCTGTGATCTAGAGGAGTTGAAGAATCGAATGGTGGAGTCAAAATGGTCAAAAACTCCATATTGACGGAATTACCTTTTTTGGAACTTGGAAGATGAGACAAGAATAAGGGTGAGTTTTGGAAAATGGGCGCTATTTCCCCATTGGCGCATTGGAACGCTCCAAAAGATGCACCTACATGTCCAGTCTGATATGGAGGACCGTTTCATGAGTTTTTAGTAGGTTTCACGCCTACAGGAAAAGGCCAATTCACCATGGAGGCCCCTTTAGGTACTCAATGACGCAAAAGGTAGGTCTCCCGTATTGAACGCCGGGGACTGTCTTGTGTGTCTATTGAGGGTGATTAGTAGCGACTCAATGCTTTTTGACCAACTACCAAGAGAAATAGCGGACAAACCCATCAAGCAAAATTGCCCTCTTTTGTGTGGAGTTTTGAAACACCGAGCCGACACATTTTACAACGCACACTTAATGCAGCAATGGAAACTAATTGTGGGCCATGCAACGCTATCCAACGGTCATCCCACCAACCCCAGCTTCGAAACAAGAACTAACACAGGGGTTATATCAAACTATTTTTTCAATTACATAAACAGCCAAAGATAACCCGAGGCTCGACCGCTACATACGGCTTTTCTTGAACGCCTCGTCCTGGTCTTTCTGGGATTCCACAAAGCCTCCTCTTGTGTTCCGGTCGTGGCCAATGCCCTGCTCGTCCAGACGAGCGACCAGCTTGTCTTTCTGCAATTGTCTCCATCTTGTGAGTTTGGCGTAATCGTGTATGTGGAAACCAAAGATCTTTGGGGTGTATATGTCGACGCTGTGGCTGGGAAGCAGCTCTGGATAAGCCTGGAAAAACATGGCTGGGAATGACGTGCCAAAAAATGCTCCGTCCAACGACGAGTGTCTGGACGACTTTGGGTTGTAGATATCCTCGCAATTTGGACAGTACAACTTGACAGAAGCCACTTTTGGGCTATCGCTCAGTCCAACGGGCAGCAGCGGCGTCAACTTGCAGAAAACACGAGGGCAGTAACCGAAATCGGCGTTTTTGTATTTTTCCATCATCTTACTAAGTCCTCTTTGGGTGATGATATAGCGGGCGTGTATCAAAGCGTACATGAATTTAGCATTATCCTCCAGTCTTGCACGGGTCTGTTCCGACTCGTTTTCGCTGATTTGCGTTCTGTCTGTGATTATGTCCACAAGCAGCGAAATTCGGTCAACGTATTGGTTCAGTCCGGTCAGATTAAACCTGTCGGTGATGTATTCCACGTCCACGTCGCAGAAGTATTCGTTGCCGCGGTTGCCCAAAAACCAGTCGATCCAGTATTCCGTGTACTCTGAGCCCGAGTCGCTTGTGTATTCAGCAGAGGCCATGAGGAAAGAGATGAGAGAAAAAAACACTCGTTTTTTTTCTTTAATCACCATGTACTTTTTGAGCGGGACGTTTTCCGAGTCGACGGCCTATTTCGTCGCCGTGAACGCCACCAGCCAGTACGTGGCGACTGCGGGCAACGACGCGTCCATCATGGTGCGGTCCATGGCCAAATTTGTCAACATGGTGCCCGAGGGAGATCAGGTCGAGACAAAGACCCCTTCGCAGGTGCAAACGGCACCCACCATCGACAAGGCCAAGGTTGCCGAGGCGCAAGTCCCGGACAACGTGGTGACTCTGCGCACACGGAGCAAGATCGCCGCGTTACGGTACGCCAATCTGCGTCAGAACGCGCATCTGCTCGTGGCATTGTGCAAGAATGGCGAGGTTTTCCTCGTGGAAAACCCGCACGATAAGGACAAATGCGCCACCACATTGCTGTACCGCCAGAAAAAGGGCCAATTGATCGATTTCTCGTGGTCCGCAGACGACCAATTGCTTGCGTTCTCGTCCATGAACAACGAGGTGGTCATCTACGACGTTTTGTACAAGAAACAGCTCACCAGTCTCCACATCCACAGCTCCGACGATACCATCGCAGTTAAGGGAATCGCGTTCGACCATTCCGCAGGAAAGTACCTGTTCACCCAGGGAGACGACAAATTGGCCAACATCGTCGAGTACACCTTGCAAGAAGACGTGGAGCATGGAAGAGTCTTCAAGTACAAGATTTCGCAGCAGCTGTCGAACCTGTCGAGCAATCTCAAGGTCAAGGCCAACCTCAGCAAGGTCTCGTGGTCGCGGGATGACAAGGTTCTTGCGTGTCCGAATCTGGGCAAGGGAAAGTCTTCGTTGGTGGCTTTGTTGAACAACGCAGACGGATCGAGTTGGAACAGCTGGTGCAATCTGATTGCTGCGGATTTCAGGTGTATCATGACGGCGTTTTCGCCGTGCGTGTTTTCGAACCCGGCCAATAAGGACGCCTCTGACGTGAGCCCAACTACAGGAAAATACTACTACGTGCTGGCCACGGCCTCCACAGAGAGCACGCTGGCCATTTGGAACACCGCGTCGAGCGCCCCGTTGATCATAGCCAGCGAGATCAGCACCAACGCGATCCAGGACATTTGCTGGAGCATGGACGGACGTCTGCTCTTTGTCACCACAGCAGCTGGCGAGCTGCTGATTGGTGTTTTCGGTGAGCTCGAGCTAGGAAACTCGGTCACCGACTCCTTGTACAAATTGCAACAGCTGGAATCCTCTGTTGCCGCAAAACTTCCCGAGCAGGTGAAAAAAAGAGACGAGTGGGCCAAACGGGTCCAGTCTGCGTCGTCGACTGGTTCTGGCGCCGAGACGAAGAAGCCGGCTGTCAAGAAGGAAGCGAACGGGGCCTCTGTGTCCAATGGCTCCACTGCTGCCAACGGGGCTGCTCCGCCTGGCGTTTCCACGGAACCAGTGGATATCAAGAAAAGACCCGTTTCCAGCACAGATTTCGACGCACCGTCCACTTCTGTGCCTCGAGAGCTGTCCCAAAAGGCAAACAAGATCATCAAGAAGGACGATTCTGCGCAAAACGGCAAGAAGAAGCGCGAACTCGAGCCGCAGGACTTTGTCGGTTCTGTGGTGCTGAATCCCCAGCTCTCGTTCAGCAACGTGCGGATCTCCATCTCAAAAGTGCGGCTCAACTTCTTCCGCACGCTCACAGAAGACGAGTCCATCTACTTGGACATCAAAAACGGCTCAGGGTTCGAGTCTGTGCCGACTCGTATAGCGTTGATGAAAAAAGTGTCTGAGGAGACCAGGAAACAGCTGTTTGTGGACTTTATTCCGTTGAGAGTGCACTTGGTGACCGGCACCGAGAAATACTGGGCTGTTTCCACCACGACGGGACAGCTGATTGTTTACGGCACGTCCGGACGCCGTGTTCTGCCTCCGCTGGTTCTAGGGTCGCCGCTCTCCTTTTTGGAGATGAGCGGCCAGTACCTTCTTGCGGTGACCAGTGTCGGCGAGATGTATGGCTGGGACCTGGGCGATCCCAAGGGACCCAAGGCATTATTTCGTCCAACATCGCTGTATCCGCTGTTGCAACCAATTTACAGAGCAAACACGTACGAGACCGTGACGGAGGCCAACGGGCTGGTGTTTGTGAACGGCGACCTGCTCACGCGGTCGGAGAACCTGACCATGTGCTCGATCTCGACCAAAGGTGTTCCGATTGTCACGCTGAGCAACGGAAACGGGTACCTGTACGACGGGAACATGGGGGCCTGGTCTCTGGTGAGTGACTCTTGGTGGGCGTTTGGGTCGCAGTACTGGGACTTTACGCGGTCGCAGCTGGACGATGGGACGATTGTGGGAGCTCTGGAGAGCCGGACGAACGAGGAGCTGTTGCGGAGAGGAAAAGGCAAGCTTTTGAATAAGATTTCCAAGGTGATGTTGATGAAGGAAGGGTACGAGAACCTGGAGACGGTGATTTCTTTGAACCATCTGGAAAACAAGATCTTGGTGTACCATCAGCTGCAAGACTCTAAGAGTTTCAAGAGTTTCCTGACACTTTACGTGAAACGGCTTTGTGAGCTGAACCTGAAGAACCGGCTGCTGGAACTGTTCCAGGAACTGTATTTCAACGAGGACGAGAAACTGTGCGGCCTGGACCGACGCGAGCTGCTCAAGTCGTTGATCTACAGCTGTTCCAAGTACAGAGAGGTGCAACGGATTCTGATGGTTTACGGCGAGAATCTCGGCATTGTGGAGCAAGATTTATTATAATGATTAGATGAAGAGCAATATGTACAAATAGTTATCTGTCCATGTCCATACCAACGATCTTGTAGATCTGTTTGAGGTTGTTATTGGCCAATGGACGGACTTTCTCTGCTCCTTGGGCGGCCAGTTTATACAGGTAATCTTGGTCTTTGATCAGTTCGTTGTAGCGTCTTGTTGGTTCGGCGAGTTCTTTCACCACAACGTCGGCCACCAGTTCCTTGAGACTTCGTTTGTCCAAGTTTTGGATCTCTGGCAGCACCTCGTCGATGGTCTTGCCAATACTGCTGGAGTAGATGGTGATCAAATTAGACACTCCCGGACGCAACTCCGGGTCGAACGTCAGCGGGCCTTCTATGGAGTCCGTGGTGGCCTTCATGATCTTTGTACGGATCGAGTTAGCGTCCTCGGTGATCAGGATCTTGGTCAGCGGGTCTGGATCTGACTTGGACATTTTTTTGGCCGGGTCTCTCAGATTGAGGATCTTGTTGGTCGGAGCCATCAGAGTCCGCGGCAGCGTGAAGAAGTTGGATTTGGTTTGTTTGTTGAACACCGCGGCAAGGTCTCTGGTAAATTCCAGGTGCTGGACCTGGTCCTGACCTACTGGGACGTGGGTAGAGTTGAAGAGCAGCACGTCTGCTGCCATCAGCACGGGGTACGTGAACAGACCGAGTCTGACAGCTCCGAGCTGGTCCTGGATCTGGACGTCTGTCTTGAGGTCGGACTTCGCCTTCCATTGGGTCATCCGGTTGAGATAGCCCATCCCTGAGAAACAGGACAGGATCCATTGCAACTGGGTATGTTCAGGCACGGCAGATTGGTGGTACACGGTGACCTTTTCCGGGTCGATTCCGCACGCCAGAACCGACGCCAATGCCTCGAACCGCTGTGTTTTCAAGCGCGCGTAGTCCTGCGGCACCGTCAGCGAGTGCAGGTCGGCCACAAAAAGGATCATTGACGAGGACGAGTCCAATTTTTCAGAGATGGTGTGCCAGGTCTTGGTGGCTCCCAGATGGTTGCCCAGGTGGAACGCTCCGGTGGGCTGAATTCCGCTGACAAGACGGGATTTCGGCGGCAGTTGGAAGCTCGGAGAGTTGACATATTCCACCGAAACGGTGGACATGAGCCGTCTAAACATTACTTTTAATTTTTTAAATTTGTCAACTAATTTTCTCGCATAACCAGCCGTTTGATGAGTCGGGCAGAGGACGATTTTTTTGCATTTGCGGGCGAGCCGCTCGATCAGCCGCGCAAGCGGCGGAAGAAGAAGAAGTCCCGGCCCGATGCGGGCGCCAAGTCGCCGTCTGTGGGGGAAACACCGCCCCTGTTTGAGAAAAGCCCAGAAACAGAGGTTATCAGTGTGGAGGACGCCAAGCCGGCCGCTTATGGCGACCTGATCGAGCAGTTGGGTCTAGAGGCAAGTGTCGTGGAGGCCAGGCGGCCTGCTGTTGTGAAAACGAAGAAATCGCGCGCCGTGGAGCCCAGCACAGACGACCTGTTCTTGAAGCAGCTCGACAAGGACGTGGCTCTGTCGCAGCCGGACGCGGAGCTGGACGAGCTGCTGGAGAAGTACGGCTCGACCGAGCGCACGGTCCTGTTCAACGGCAAGCAGATCCCGGTGAAACAGGCGGTTTTCGCCCTGACGGTGCAGATCACGCTAGCAAACAGCGAGAGCCTGGGGTTCCGGCTGCGTGTGCGTAGCAACGCGCAATTCAAGACGATTCTGCGCGAGATCATGAACCAGTTGCGAGCGCACGGCCGCGAGCTTGCCGCGGAACAGGCCGCAGACACAGACTCGCTCGTGTTCTACATCGAGGACCAGGGCATTATTCTGACGCAGGACCTGAAAGTCGGGTCGCTGGTGCGGTCTGGCGCGCGGTTGCGCGTCAACGACGTGGGCGATGCGTTCGAGGTGGTCACCGTGCTGCTCACCGACGCCGCTGCGCGCGGCCGCAAGAGAGACACCTCGATCGAAAAACTGCTCCTCACAGACGACCAGGCCGAGTCGCTCGACGGCGAGTCCGACGAGCTGATCCTGACGCTCGTGGACCCGCAGCGCGGCGGCCAGACCACCGCGGTCTCGGCCAGGGTCGGCACCACGGTCAAGGAGCTGCTGGACGTTTTTTTAGTGCGCATGAACTATCCAGACGGGCTGGCCATCGACTTACAGCATAAAGGACTCGTGCTGGACCACAACACGCTGGTTTCCTTGGACCTGAGAGACAACGACGTGCTGGAGGTGTTGTACAACATACACGACCTGGACAAGTTCCAGGACCAGGCCGTGTCCAGCGACGAAGACGTGATCGAGACCACCACGTCCGACAACTACTTCTCCATCAAGCTCAAGGGCCGGGACCGCAAAGAGGTGCGTGCCAGAGTCAACCCAGATACCCGGATCGAGGCCATTGCGCGGTTCTATCTACAAAAATGCGGTCTGGGTCCAGAAACCCAGGTGCGTCTTATTTTCGACGACGAGGCACTGGACCCTGGCCAGACCGTCGGCCAGACAGAGCTGGAGGACGACTATTTGGTGGACGTTGAGATTATATGATCTAGAGCAGGCGTTTGATGTTGGCGAGGGTCCACTGGTTCTGGGCCAGCAATCCGCCAATGGCCCCCGTGTCGATTTGTCCGAGGTTGTTCAGGTTCGGCCGTCCGCTGACGAACGTCGTGTACGTCTCGGGACCGCACACGAACGCAAACGAGGCGTGGACCCGTGGTGTTCTTTTGAAAATGTCCCAGATGGACTTTTTCGGCAAAATATCCACCTTGGTGTCTGGAACGGCCTCGTTCTCCACCAGGGGAGCCGTGCTAGCACTTCCCAGCGGCTGGAATGGTGCTGGCTGCGCCATCTGTTTGGCAGTCAGTCGCTCGCCGGCTTCGGAAATAAGATACCTAAACTTCGCCTTCTGACGCTGCTCCGCGAGCCAGTTGAGATAAAACAGCTCTTTTGGCAGGTCTGTGTGTTTGTGCAGCGAAACAAACGCGTGCACAAACGGCACGACAGCTCCCGGTGTGTATAGTAACTGTAATAAAGGTAAGACGCCTGTTCCTGCTCCGTAGAACGCAACGGTCTCCGGCAACGTCTGTGGCAGTTTGTACTCTACGCACGGCCCACGAAGTTGCACCTCATCAAACACCTTTCTATTAGTGAGCCATCTCGAAAACTCTCCGGTGTTGTACCGTTTCACCAGCAGCAAGAACCGGCCGTGGTTTTCTGTCCTGGTTAGCAGTCGCAGTCGCGGCCGATTGGTTTCTGGGTCCGTTCCGTCCACGTACAACGGCAGAGGCGTGTAGTTGCGCACGATGTTGATGTCGGGTTGCTTGATCTCGACGCTCCACATGGCAGCACCGTCGAAAAGCGGGCTGGCCAGAGCTGGATTGTACTGTTTTCTGGTGAGTTCGATCAGATAGTGGTCCTCGTCGTACTTCTGCTTGTACGTGACCACGAAAGGAACAAACTGGTCGGGTCTGAGCAGGTCTGTGGTGTTTTCAGTGGCTGTATTTGTGGTGGTGTAATAGTACGCACCGGCCAGACCGGCTGCTACCACTGCGAAAACGACACGCGACTTGCCTGATCTGGACTTCGGGGACCCTCCATCGCCAGTTTCCTCGGCCCCGTGTGGTTCCTGCTCCGAATTGGTCTCTTGCTCGCGCACAGTGTGCGGTTTCCTGACATCTGCAAGTTTCAGTCTAATCAATGGCACATCTCCAGACAACGGGCCGTTGAGTGGGGGGTCAATCTTTCCCCTCTGTGGATCAGCCGTGTTGTCCCCCACTTTAGACGCCAAACGACGCACCGCACTGACTTGTCGGCCTCGCAAAACGGGCCGCACCCTGATAAACATGGTATTGAAAAAAAAAAGCTCGAAATTATATTTTCCATGTCCGTTTCTCTTATCCACACGTTTTCCGGCCACAGAGACAAGTGCTGGTCGATCGACGTTGACCGGGCACGCGGGCTGCTGGCGTCTGTGTCGTCGGACAAGACGTGCCGAGTGTACAATCTGAACACTCGGCGACTGGTGGGTGTTCTGGACGACAACACGCACACCAAGACGATGCGCAGTGTGCGGTTCAAGCCGTCGAGCACGGTGCCTGCGCTCGCGATCGGGTCGTTCGACTCCACCATCTCGATCTGGTCCCGCGAGGACGACGACTGGGTGCTGATGGCCATCATCGAGGGCCACGAGAACGAAGTCAAGAGCGTCGACTGGTCGCACGATGGCGTTTACCTGGCCTCATGCTCCAGAGACAAGTCGATCTGGGTCTGGGAGGCCGACGAGACAAACGAGGAGTTTGAGTGTATCAGTGTGATCCAGGAGCATGAACAGGACGTCAAGAACGTTGTCTGGCACCCGAGCAAAAACGTGCTGTGCTCTAGCTCGTACGACGACACTTCCCGGGTGTTCAAGCAGGACGACTACGACGAGGACGAATGGGTGTGTGTGGCCAACTGCCAGGGCACCCAGGGAACGATCTGGTGTGCGGACTGGGAGAAGAGCGACAATCTACGGTTTGTCAACTGCAGCGACGACTCGTTAGTCAAGATATGGAAAAAGACCAGTCCGGAGACCCAGACCGGGACCGGCGCAACGCTGCCGTCCACGCTCAAGTCCGAGGAGGAGTGGGTGCTGGACGCGACGCTGCCGAAAGTGCACACGATGCCGGTGTATGGTGTTGCTTGGAATTCGAACGGACTGGTTGCCAGCTGCGGCTCCGACGGCCGGCTCGCAATCTACCAAGAGTCCAACGGCGACTGGAAAGTGGTTGCGGTGCAGGAACTCAGCCACGGGGTGGCCGAGCTCAACTGCGTCAAGTGGTGGAATGATAACACTCTATTAACAGCCGGCGACGACGGTAACGTGAATATGTGGATGGTTTCTCTTTCTTAGGCCAAAATCACCAAGATCACAAACAAAACCACCACGCACATAATAACAAGCAGCCAGAAACAGATTCGCCGCCGGTTGCGGTGGTATCTGTCTGCCTTCAGCAGGTGGCGTGATGCCTGCTGGGTGTCGTGTAATGTAGAATACAAGTTGGACTCGATATTGTCAATCATGCTTCCTTGATCAACCACGATGTTGGACAGGTCGTGGAAGATCTCGTTGAGTTCTTCGATGCCGTGCGAGATGTTCTCGATGTCTCGTTCGCGCTCCTCGATCAATGCTCGCTGATACTCCACCTCCTCTGCGTTCACAGGCTCGTATTCTATCACCACCTGCTGTTGCTGGGGCTGAGCAACAGGTGTTTCGTCCACCAACCCAGAACCAATTAGACTCGCGCTCTTCTCATTCTGTTTCTTCTCCAGGTCCGTGTAGAACTGCTGCAACTGGTTGAACTCCTGTAACGACCGTTTCAAGTTCGTGTTGAGCTTGTCTCGCACAAACGTCTGCGACTTGTTCAACAACGCAGCGTCCAGTCCATTCAAAGTGCGCGTATCGCTCGAAACGCCTTTGAACAGATCCATCAGCTGCGAAATCAGCTTCGACGAGCTCTGCTGGTACTTTTCCACGCTCTGGCCCTTGTCGATGGCGGTCTCCAGAAAATTGAGGTTCTTGTTCAAGTTGCTCAAACTGTTGTTCACACTCAACAACGCATTGCTTATCTGTTGATTGATCTCGTCAAACTCAGGAACATCTTGGTAAACAGGCTGTTCCTCTAACGTAATGGCGTCAAACGGCGAACTCATATCGTTTATTCGTGTAGTACATCAAAAGCTAACAAGTAAATTATAATTCTAGGTCGATTCGGGATAAATGGTAACATCTTTACACCAGCAACAGAGTTACAATTCCTCCTTCTCCTCGTCGTCGAGGACTGGGTCAGACAGTTCAAGACCGTCGTAGAAGGAGGGTCGGTTCAGCAGCCGCGTGACCGTGTCGGGGACCATGCAACCGTGTAGCTCCTGTTTCAACTCGACCAGCAAACTTTCCAGGTGCTTGTTCAATTTCTGCAACGCGGTGTTCTTGCTGGTGAGCAAGTCGATATCGTGTTGCAGCTTTTCCTGACGAACTTTCTTCTTCTGCCGACATTTGGACGCGGCGATTCTGTTGCGCTCCAAAATCCTCTGTTTTTTCCATGCTGTTGTTCCGTGGATAGGGCCTGCGTTTGGATTAAAAATCACCTCGTTGTTGTACAGAAGCGGTTGTTGGGGCACTCCGTTCTCGTTGACTTGGATGTCGGGCTCGTCCACCGAACTTTCCTTTTTCACGTCGCTTTTGTGGAACATCATACTAATTTGACCTATCTGACCGTTCGAAATCGACACTCTTCTGCGCGGAAGCGGATGCGGCAGCTCCTCTGGCTCTCCGTAGAGCCTGTCCTGTCTGGCTGTCTGGACAGACTCGAACTCTGCAGAAACCGGATTCTGACCATCGGTAAAGTGCGAAGGTGCTGGCTCCTGAGGATGGGCAGGGTTGGCATATGGGTTTCCCGGTGGTGGGGCGTATTCGTACGGATAGTCTAGCAGAGGTGGGTTGACCAACAACAGATTCTGGAAGTCTTCAGGGTCCAAATAGAAATTCTGAAAGCTTTTTCTTGCCATTGGGGATGGTTTAGATAATGGTCTTTTAAGGATTGAAGGATCTGGAAGAGGGGAATCTTCAGTACTGCTGCGACTGCTCACTGGGATATCGCTTGGAGGAGTCAGCTGCGGTAATGGTTCAACGGCCTGTTTTGAGTGGTTGTTTTGTTGGTTGATATTTAAAAGATTTAAGGCAAAATTGAATTGTTGCTCGTGTTCATTAACATCAACAGATGGTATCCAAGGGCTTTCTTTCTTCACAAAATTAGGCTGTTCCCTTCCCCCGTTCGGCTCGTAATGTCTGTTATACATCTAATTAACGGGGAAATTCGATTAAAGCAACGGCAAAGAATAAGATTATAACTTAGTAATACTTTTTTTTCCTCAAGCTTTAATATTTTTCCTCCCCATCCCCCCACCCATCATCTGTATGTAATTTAAAATTTCTCCCCTGATGGGAATTTCTTAGGTTGCGGTGTCAAATGTTTCCTTGAAATTGGTATCCGACATGTGACGGTATCGATAGTTTAGTATTCTAGCCAAGCTTATTATTGGAAACCTCGATAATTAACCGAATGAGTTGCTGATTGTGCAACGCAAGTAGCACGCTGTGCGTTTTGTCCCCGCAGCTATAGGACATGTTCTCTTTTCCGACAATTAGTGTCTGTTTGCGTGTAAGCACGGTGCAGTGCTATTTGTTAGTGCATATTGGCCCGATTGGAAAATATAAGGCGTATTTGAAAATCTCGCCCGGTGACCAATGCATGCGGCTTCCGTCTCCTGACTACGTTGCTTAGGTAAGTGCGTATTTATTTATCAAAAGAATTATTTACTTTTGATTAATTAATAGCGATGGGTCCTGTTGAGTCTGCAAACGACCTTCTGGGCGACTTCCATGCGTACCATGTTGCTAGCAGTAAATTGCACGAGTTTGAGGCCGTCAATATGCGTCGACTGGAGCTCACCAGAACCGTCGCGCATCTCGTTACTGTTCTCCAGCTGATCGAGGAATCGGAACATAAACACAGCCAGACGGTGGCAGAACTCGCCCAGACGCGCAAAGCTATCAAACAGAAACAGCAGAACCCGCTAACCGCCAGATCTGCGGTCCCACGCGTCTCAAGACCGCCGCTCAAATCGTCGATCCCTGTTTCCACCACCCCTCGCAGACCATCGCCTACAAAACTCGGCACTCCGCTTAGTGCGCGCGTGAGCACTCCGTTGAGCGTGCGCAAGAACCTGCTCAAAGTCGTCAAGACTCCGCAATTGACCCCAGCAAAGACAACGTCGATCTTTGACGACGACGAAGACGGCGACGACGCGTTGCCAGACCTGCAGACCGTGTCGCGGCCCAAAGTCCAGCTCAAACGCAAAGCCGTAGAGTACTCTGCGCCGGATTCGTCGCCGTCCAAGGAAAATGACGACGAGCACACCTCGCCCATCTACAAACGGATCAAACAGACCCAGGAAAAACACACAGCCGTGTACCAGCCGTCCAATGTGTTTAGTCCGGTGAAAAACCGCAACGAGGGATTCAAAAATAGTATTTTTGGTCGGTGATTCTAACTAGTTTTAAACATCTGGAACGCTCTATCGTCGATGTAGAAGTAGATAAAGTATCCAGCTTCATGAGACACAAATGACCCAAAATTCTTCCCCACTATGCAATGCCATGTTGACCCGTACTGTTTGTCGAGTTCTTTCTTCAAATATGCAGAAATTTCAGCGTTTTTCTTGTACAAGTCCAAAGCTCTTTCGGTGATCTGGAAAATGTCCTGTTGCATCTCAGTAGACTAGCTTGTTAATACTTTTGCGCGTTTCTGTCAAACTTACCATATCTGTCGACTTGAGAATTGCTGGGCGGTTAGTGGATTGGGCGTTTAATACCTACGGTCAACCTTCTTCTCGTCCTGATCGCTCATCGTCTAGATACAAATATTTTCTATCTTAATCGCGAAGGCAAAATAAAATAAAAATATCCTTATATGGTCTTGTTTACCGTTCTCAATGGATTACGATGAGTTCAGTAACGACAACAACCCGTTTGCTGGCTCAAACCATTTCTATTCCAATGGAATAAGCAGCAATGACCCTTCTGACCTTCTGGACAGCGGAACCAGCTTGGGGGTGCAATCTGTCGATAGCGAGCCTCTCCCTATAATCACAAACCAATCTGTCACAATTAGCAATTACGAGCTTTTACGAGACTTTAAAAACGTCACCACTGTTTTTTACCGAATAGAATACATGTCCAAAAGCACATTGCGCCGGTACTCTGATTTTGTGTCGTTGCGGTCGTACCTGATACGGTTCTTCCAGACTAAAGTGTTACCACCTGTACCCGAGAAACACTCGTTAGGACGATTGTTGAAGAACCCGTTTTCGTACAAATCAGACACAAAGATCATCTACAGAAGAATACGGCTGTTGCAGTACTTTCTGGATGAATTGGTTGCCGACCCAGACATAAAGCAATCGGAGGTTCTGTTGAAGTTTTTGGATCCTTCACAAAAAAATTGGCACCAAGCAATCAAGTCGGGCCCCTTGAGCAACGTATCTTCGAAATCGATTCTGCTCACGTCGCCAAGAAACCCGTTGATTCCCAACCCGTACCTGATTTACTTACCAATTCCGCCGCTTGGATTGGTCAAGAAGTACGACTCTAAACTCAACTCTAGCATTTTTGTTCCTCTAGAAGCCAAAGTCAAGATTCTGCTCGAACGGGTTCAGGCACTCGAACAAACAAGCAAGAAGATCGTCAAGGATTTGGAAAAGAACAGGATAGCCTTGATCGAGCTCGGCAGTATTTTTAACATATTCAGCATTCTGGAAAACCAGGATAGAAACATCGAGGAGTTTGGTAACAGGGTCGACCTGTCATTCTTGAACATTGAGGTGCTGATCAAGTCCATAACTGTGAAGATGTTTGAGCCATTCATCATCCTGAGACAGACGTTGGTAGCCATGGTGCATCTGCTGAACTACCGCAAGCTGAAGGAGCTACAACTTTCGTATCTTCGAGACATAATTCTTCGCAAACAGGTTCGTCTCAAGAGCTTGATGGAGCGGGTGGTGTCCGAGTCGAAGCTGAGCCAGATTTTGGAGAACAGCGTGGTGGACTCTCCCAGCTTGAATAAGGCCATCAACGAGCTGAAACTCAGAAAGCAGAAGCAAAACTTGTTGAGCGAGTCGTCCTTGATCATCATCAACAAACAACTGCAAGCTGAGGACGACGACGAAAGTTTCATACGCGACCACAACCAAGACACGCCGATCAACAACGGGCATGCAGGTAATTGGAAGACGGCCATTGCCGGGACGTCTTCGTCTGCGTCGTCTAACAAGATCCACACCATGAGCGCATCGAGCCATAAGTCTGTGTCCAAGCTGTCTGCAGACGAGCTGGCTTCGGAGATATCCAAGATCCGACTCGAGCTGAACGAGAAACTGATTCCGTGCTACACAAACCTGATAGAGGATGTCAAGTTTGTGAGTATCGATATTGAGCGAAACATCAATAAACAATTGGGGGTTACAATACAGAGGATATGTCAAGTAATGAACGACTGGAAGACGGTTGTGTATGGCGACTTTGTCCAGAGCTGTTTAGGGATATGGAGCCAGAATCATTCTCTTACATAATGCATATATCAACATACGACAGAGCGGTTGGTTACGAATAACGAGACTATTAATAAAATTAAGAAGTTATTAAATTTAAATTGGGTGAGCCAGAGTGGGGGCACGAACTGGATGCAGCGGAAGGTGGTGAACAAGATGTTCAGTATACTCCAATCACCTAAGACTTTCTGGCCGCACAGAACAGCCACATCACAGCTGGTCTGTCGTGGCTACCAAAACGGGCCTCATATTGAACGGCAGGCCAAATTTTGGGAAATCGGGGGCTATGGCTCAATGGTAGAGCTTTCGACTCCAGTCAAATCTCCGGAATTGTGCAATCGAAGGGTTGCAGGTTCGATTCCTGTTGGCCTCAGATTTTATTTTTTTTTCCTCTGAATTTATTCTCGACTATACTTACAATTGGATAAACGATTAGGGGTTGAGTTGGAGACTGATTACCTATCGCTCTCCACAGTCTTTGGACTCACCCCTCCGCTACTTGCCCCGCTGCTGGCGTACCCATTAGCTCCGTTTGTGCCATTGGAGCCGTTTGTGCCATTGGTAGCAGGGGTAGCAGCCATTTTTCTCCGTTTATTGAGGGTGGAATTAGCCAGGTCCAGCTTGCTGAAACCGCCGTTTTCGTCTCGCTTCTTCTTCTGTTGCTGGCTCGGAGACACTGTTTGCGACACGGGTCTCGAGCCTGACGGGAAGCCTTGCTTCTGCGGGTTTTGCTTGAAGGCCTGTCTCTGGGCCAAGAGCTGTGCCTGGTGGAACTGGGCGCTCATTTTCTCCAGCGAGCTGAGTTCTGTGGACGTGGACTTGTTGAATGCCTCTAGAGACGTGATCGGCGAGCTGAACCCGGAGATGGCGTGGAACTGCATCAGAGGCTTGACCAAAGTCATCACGTCGCCGACCTGCATCACACGCATCACGTTTTCCTGGAACCCGAAGTTGCTCAGGCCTTTGAATGCAGCAAAGTTGTCTCTGATGCTCTTTGAGTCGATCAAGTCGTGTTTGCTGAGGAACTTGTCGATGGTGCCGAGTTCGAGGCCGGCGGATGTTTTGTAGATGGAGATGTCGATCTTTTCGATCTTGAGCTGTCTGCTGAACTGCAGCTTGGTAAGCCCGTACAAAGTCACGTACGAGCCGTCAAGGTACCAGTTTCTGAGGATCAGCCGCGAGCACTCGAGGTGCGTGGACCCGTTAGCAAGCACGTTGGCTCGGATAAGGTTGTGAGAGATCTCAAAGAAACCGACGCCGGAAAGAGCAATGGCGTAGAGAATGCGAGCGAAAAGCGAAAAAGTGAACGTGTAGAACCGGCCATCGGACCCGTGTTTGAGAGCCAGGGTGGCCATGGCAGACTCGCTGAAATACTCCTCCATAACTTTTGACCAATACTCAAGGTTCTCCGAGTCTGCACGCACACACAGTTTTTCTGTGAGCTCGAACAGCCGGATGATGGCTATGTTGGCGATATTTTTCTTGATGTCGTTGGAGTTTTGGAAGTTGAATTGGGACAGTTGACCGTTATTAGGAGGCATGTTTTGCAGCTTGACGTTGCCGGCCTGCACTGGGACGCCCTGGCCCGACTTGCGGTGTTCGTCCAGCTGGCGGTGGATATTGTTCTGGAGGTTTCCGTAGGTGGCCTGGAGCTGCTGCAGGGCTGCGAGCTGTTGCTGGGAGATCACGCCCGGCCGGCCCATCATGGCCGACGCCGCGGCAGCCGTGGCCATGTTTGTGTTTTTCCACTGGGGCTGGCCCTGTTTGGGATCTGCCGCGGGATCAGGCTTGGCAAGCCCGGCAGGGGTTGCTGGAAGATCAAGAGGCGTGACGGGATGCGAGCTGGGCGGATTCTGCACACCCTCTGAGCCGTTGGAGATCATCGGCGAATGCATCGACGTGACGGCAGGATGGCCTATCTGCGGCGGATAGTGGTTGCCCTGGTACTGTGTAGGGGCACCCATGTTAATATATGGCATTTGCTGGGCTTGACCATGTTGGCCAGACATTGGTGCCCGAGAAGGAGAGTTCCCGTTGGCGGAACCGTTGTTCATTGAACTGTGGACAGATCTGATGTTATTGTGTTGTACAAGGTGAGTTATCAAATTAGAAAAATGTATAATAATAAGCCATAACTCGGTCAAGCCATAAAAATCGATCACAAACTGTTTTAGCACCTTTTACAATTTTTCCGCATTGGAAAATTGGCACTGCCCATTTCCGCTCTTGGATACAACCTGCAATAATTAAATCTATTTAGTCTTCTTCTTGTTAAGCTTGTCCAACTTCTTTTTCGTGGACTCCAGCTTGCGCTTCTTCGACTCAAGCTCCTCTTTACGGGACTCTTGCTTGTCGATACCGTACTGCATCTTCTTGTACAGCTTTTTCTGCTTATTGGACATCATGATCATCTTGAGCTCTTTCTCTTCCTTGGCAGCCTTGGCCTGTTTCTCGGCTTCCGAAACCGTTCTCTTCTTCTTGTTCTCTGCCTCGGAGTACTTCACGCCTGCTGCCTCAAGCTCCAACTCTCTCTGTTCGGCCAGGTCGTCTGCTTCCTCGTCTGCTTCCTCGTCGTCTTCGTCTTCCTCGTCTTCCGCCTCTTCGTCAACTTCCGCCTCTTCCTCTTCGGCCTCCTCAGCAGCAGCCTCTCTGGACTCTGGGTTGTAGAATCCTCCGTCACCCCATGGAGAGAGATGCGGTGGAAGAGTCTCGCCTGGCGCATAGTCGCTCACGTTCAGAAGCTCGCCCTTGTTAAGACAGTCAAACACCCATTGTGGCTGCACATATGTCCGGCCTTGCACCTTGTTGGCGACCTTTGGTCTGTCAACGATCTGGTGCGTCACAGCGCTCAAGTCAACATTCACGGCAGAACCGTTCAGCTTGGCCTCGTCCAAAGCAGCCTCGCTGATCACACGGCCACCAGCAGACAAAATCACAAACTCCAAAGTGTCGACAGGAACCTCTCTTCCGAGATAGAACACAAACTTGGACAGTAAAGTGCTCGAACTGTTGCCGTACTTGGACGGCTGTGCAAGCAGGTCTCCAGAGTTCTTGTTGGTGTCCTTAAACTCGTCAAGCTCGACCTCCTTCTCCTCTTCCTCCTCCTGGTTGTCCTCGACGGCCTCTGTCTTCTCGTCAGCAGCCAAAGCTTTGTTGATCTCCTCCTCAGGAATCTCAGTCTCCTCAGCTTGCTCAGATTCTTGAGGCACGGAAGGAAGAACAGATTCGCTGCCCTTGGTCTCCAAGATGTATGCGGACAAACCACCGATTCCTTTGATCTTGGTCTGGTCGACCTTTGGTGGATAAACCAACCCGGCGTCTGTGTAGAGCTTGTACAGAACAAAGTGCAACAAAGTGGAGTAAAATTCGAGGAAAGTGAGCATGATTCTGAAATCAATGTCGGACGGAATATTTTGCGGGAACTTGAACGGAACGAGCCAGATCACCTCCTGGCCTCGCACATTGGCGGAGTAGTACACTCCCTTGATCGACACAAACACTTTTCTCAACAGCCGTTCTCTCGAAACATACGCCATCCATTGGTTAGTGAGCTTGGTAGCTTCAGAAGTGATTCTGGCACTAACTTTATCGGTAGCAGGCATGTTGCTGAACAAAAACAGCATGTTCAAACAGTCGTCCAGATCTCTCAAAGCGTCTAAAAAGGATGGATATCTTTCCTTGACCACCTTGTCGAGCTTGTATTTTGGCTTGTGTTCCTCAAGTCTCTTGGCATCTCCAACTTCACCTTTGCCCAAAGCCTTGTTGAGCTTCTTGGAGAAAGTTTTGTGCTCTCTGAACTTTGCCAAGATCGGCTCATGCATAAGATACTGAATGTCCTTGGTGTAGTAGAATGTGACTGGGGCTGTTGATCCCTTGTTGGCCTTCTTCTTGTTTCTTGGTTCTCTTGGGTAAATGCCCTTGAAAATACACAACCGACGGAAATCGGCCAGCGAGACCTGGAGTCTCTTGATGGCCTGCGTTCTGGTTATGAAATTCTTGGCGTTACCAGAAGTTCCCTTCTTCTTGACCTTTCCCATTGCTCGGTTATGATAAGTTATTAAGGATAAATCCAAGGGAAAAAAAATTTAAAATAAATTTTTCAGATTGGTAAATGCACGGCACTAAAAGTTGACAATATATTTTTCAGACCGCATGTTACCGTTGATACGACAAATCGCCTGTCGTCGCTACAAATCATCCATTGGCAAGCAACTGGCCACGGCGGAAGATCTGAAATCGTTCTTTAAATCGTCCGTCGCTGTTGCTCCACCTGGAGTGGAACGGTCTGCAGTCAAGCCTGAGCTGCTGGACAAGCTGCTGGACTTATCTGGACTTTCCAAGGAGATCAGCCAATCGGAACAACAGAGCCTGCTTGATTCGCTCAGTGACCAACTGCAGTTTGTTGCCGAGTTGAAGAACCACAAACCTTCGCCAAATCAGACCAGATTGGTCCAAGATAGCCAGCCATTGAAGTTCGATCAGCTCGTTGACGAGATCGCCCAGCAAACGCCACAGCTGGCCAAAGGAGAAGTGGAAGAGTGTTGGAACCCGCTAGATCTATCGCAACAGCACCAGGACGATTACTTTGTCGTGAAGGAAGGACTCATCAAGGAAATTAAACAGTAATGATAATGAATATATATGCTACATCTCGGATTCGTCCTCCAAGTCGAGTTTGCGCTTGCCTGCCTGAGACTCTCTCAACTGGGCCATCTTTCTGACTCCAGTCTGGATCTTGGCCCTCTTGGTCATTTTCTCGATCTCCTGCTCCGCGTTCTCGCTTTCTGCCTCGGCAAAGTCCATGACAAGACGACGGCCCAATAAGTGGACACCTTGTAATTGGTCCATGGCGTTCTCGGCCTCCTTTAGCGTGCTGAACTCCACAAACGCAAAACCTCTGGCAGACTTGTTGAATTTCTTAGGAACTCTGACAGACTTGAGGTTTCCAAACGGACTGAACAGCTCGAACACGTCGTTCCGTGTAGATTCGAAAGCCAAGTTCTTGACAATAATCTTTGGCGACTTCTTGGACTTCCTGGTCTGGGAAGAATCCGACTGGGATTGGCTGACTCTGTTGGAGATCTTGAGTTGCAGCTGGTGACCGTCCAACATATGGCCGTTCATCAGCTTGATAGCGTTGTCTGCCTGCTGTTTGGTCTTGAACTCGACGAATCCAAATCCCATGCTCTGAGTCTTGCCCTTATTCTTAGGATCCGGGCGCGTTCTCACTGTGGCGACCATAAACCCAGGCAAACTCTTGAACGTAGCAGTAAGCTCGCTGGAAGTGGTGATGAAATTCAAGTTCTTCACAAACACAGAAACCGTAGGACCAGCGATCTCCACCTCTTCCTCTGGGTGGTCGATATCCAGCAAGTCCGCTTTGTCTTCATCCTTGTCGGTTTTGGCCTCAGCAATGCTTTCTGAGCCAGCTTCCTTGGTGAACAAATTTTTAGGACCTTTCTCCAAGTACAAGATCGACTTCCCCAAACGTCTGAACGAGAGTTTTGTGAACGCACTCCGAGCAGACGGAGCATCTCTGAATTCCACAATGGCGATAGTTCCCGCAGGGGGCATCAATAGTCTGTTGAGCTGGCCGTACGCTGAAAATAGCTCTCCAATGGATTCCAACGTGGTTCCATGCTGGAAGTTTTTCACCAAAATAACCTTGTCGTCTCTTTCCTTAGTGTCAAAGCTAGTCAAGTCAACTCCTTTTTCTTCAAAGTATCTTCGAACATCTCCAATAACATGGGCTTCAGCCAGAGCTTGCTTCACTGCAGAGCTGCTATTAGTTGGATCGATCAGCTCTCCCTTGCTAATTCCCAATTTTGCAGACACACTGTCCAAAACAGCATCGTTGTTCATGTACAATGAGTTCCAACTGAACTGCTGCTTGGAAGATTCGTATCTTTTCTTGAGCTCTTTTTGCTTTTTCAAAGGAAGATTGGCCAGATCAAACTCGGTCAATGTGTGGTCCTTTTTGGCATTTCCCGGCAGAATGTGCAACAGTCTTCCTTGGAAAATCTGCTTATCCAGCTCCAAATAAGCCCGGACAGCATCGTCTGGCGAGGCAAACTTCACATATGCAAATCCCTTGGAAGTACCTGTTCTGGTGTCAACAGCAATATGGACCTCCTCTATTGGGCCGTACGGCGAAAAAAGGTTTCTGAAGTCCTCCTCAGTGGCCGAATACAAGATGTTTCGAAGGAACAGCCGTCCAGTCTCGGAAATAAGCTGAATGGCTTTATCTTTGTCGTCTAGTTCTGGCTCTTTCTCTTCTTCAATCTCTGCTTTGTCCACCACATCTGCTTCCTTTGGCTGTTCCTGAACCTCTGGCTGTGGTTTCTGCTTTTCCTCATGGTCCTCGCCATCTTTCATCCGCGTTCTCCTCTGCTTGAACCATTCCAAATCATCCATTTCGGCGCTCTCTTTCTGGGTGGTTTCGTCTGGCTCGGCTTCTCCTGCTTCCAGTTGGTCCAAGGACATCATTTTGTCGGATTCCTCCGAATCCTCTTGCTCGTCTGAACTTTGCTTCTTGCCCTGGAAGTCCTCGTACTCGTCGTCACTGCCTGTCTCCATAGTTTCTGGCTCAACCGATGGAGCCTCCGTGGTGCTGCCAATTTTCTCGTTGGCCCAGGACTTTTGGTGAACGCTTGGCGCAGAAGCCTCGAGAAATTCCTGCAATTTGGGGTTGGAACCGACCTTCTCCTCAATGAAAGCGTCAACTCCTTTTATCTTTGGCTGTTTGCGTTTTTTCTGGATCTCCTCAAGCTTTTTCAGCTTCTCTTCGGTCTCTTCCAACTGTCTTTTAGCCTGGAGACGTTTCTCTCTCCACGAAAGCGGCACAGTCGGGTCGCTAAAAGTTTTGGCTGGCTGCACAGAAATTCTTGCAGTGTCAATAAACGAATTATTGAAGTACTTGACAGCGGTCTCTGCGTCTTCTAAAGACCTGTAACCAATAAAGGCGAATCTCCTGGACTCTCCGTTCCTCTTCTTCACCAATTTGACATCGGTCACAAGCCCCTTCTCCTGGAAATGCTTCTTCAAGTTGTCCTCTGTATAGTAGAGAGGTAATCCCTTTACTATGATACGAGACATGGTGCAGGATATATATCGAAATTTTTTTTTAATTTTTTTATAATTTTTTTTTTGATCTAGATAACTCAAGCGGGATAACATGTGTAGATGGGTTATTTACTAAATTTGAAAAGCTGTTGCAATAATAACTACAGGAAAGGAAGGAATGAGTTTGAATCAACGGGATGGACGGTCATTTTTGTATAATCCTTTCGATTTCACTTTGATAACCCCTTTTATCCATTCATTTCGTCTAAGAATACACCCAATGTACCCCCGTTCCACTCTCCAAGCAACCATGCTCTTCCTCTGCCCCCGTTAACTCTCCATAACCTCTCACTGTCATAACCGCCTTCCAAATAAATTGTCCACACAGTGTAAAGATGTAATGTATCCCCTTTTTGCCCAAAACAAGGAAATAATCTCATCCTTGTCTTCTTAGCTATATGCAAATATCCACCAGTCCAACATGAAAAGCGAACTTCTGGATCACATTGGCATACAAACCTTAAGAAAACAGCTGAAATCCTCGGCCAATTACATGAGAATCACCAGATGTCTTTGTTTTGTCACCATGTTATTGTCGTACTTTGTGTTTTACGAACTGTTCTCAGTGGCAACCATGGGAATCAAGTATTTGATCCCACGAACACGCTATTCGTATCAAAACTACTTTGCCGCTGGGTTCTGGACTCTTTGCATTTACGTTCTTGAACTGAACGACGTGGAGATCGAAATAGTTGGAGATCAATTGGAGGCTGAAAACGCATTGTTCATCAGCAATCACGCGTCTTTGGTGGACTACATTATTTATCCTTATTTGGTGTTGAAATCAATCAGAAAACCCTCAGAACTTGGGTCGGCAAGAAAGCACGAAAAGAACAACGAGCCTGAAAAACTGTTTGCTCAAGACCTGTCCTCAATTCTACTTCCAAAAGTCAGTTTCTTTACCTGGTACTCGATCTGGACGATCCCCAGCTTGAGGGTCTTTAAAAACGTGTTTCAGGCAGACGAGAACTGGGAATTGAACAACGAAACCTTAGCATTCGTTTTTAAAGATCTCTTGGAATCAGAAGCAATAGAATGGCTAGTAACCTTCCCAGAAGTGAACATCTTTACCAAAAAAGATGCCAAACTGCAACAGGGTCTTTCGGAAAAGTTCTACCTCCCAAACCTTAAAAACCTTCTTTACCCCCGCTATTCAAGCTTTGCAAACGTCGTTTCTGGACTACACAAAACCCAGTTCACAAGACTATATGACACATCAATCATGTACTACAGACAAGCACCAGGAGAGCCTGTCTCGTTCGAAGCACCGAATTTATTAGAAGTATTTGGTCTCTATTCAGGTAAAATAACCATCAAAATCCACATCCATGCAAAGATGATGAGCAGAATCCCATTGAAGAGAAACAAATTAGAAAAATGGTTGGAAGGTAAATGGATCAAGAAAGATAGATTGATCACCAAGCTCAAAGATGAAGTGATCAGAGATGGCCCCCAACAAATCTAAATGTGCGTTGCGGCCAGCTCTGCTTCCAAGTCAGCAAGATCAACATCTTCTTCTTGGTCTCCTTCTTCCTCATCCTCATCTTCATCCTCCTCATCAGAGTCAGGCTCCTCCAGATCATCGAGCTCGTCCAGCTCACCAAAGCCTCTCTCCTCAAACACTTCAGTGATCTTGTCGATCAATTCAGAATCCTCCTCGAATCTGTTTCCGTTCAACTCCAAGAGCTTTAGAGCCTCCAGAGATCCAACAGCTCTAGCAAGGATCTCCAACGAATCGGTCTCAAGTTCGTTGTATTGAAGCTTCAAAGTTTGAATTTTTGAGTCCTTCAGCTCAGCCAGTTTCTCAACAACCTTCAAACTTCCAGCACTCTTCAGAAGACAATCGTTGACGTTGAGTTCGATCAGCTGTGGCCAGTTTGGCAGAACAGAAGCCAGAGCCAGAGATCCTGGGACGGTAAAAGTGTTGTCTTGAAGATCAAGAACTTGGAGGTTCTTCAGATGAGCAAGACCTTGGCTGATCAACTTCGCAATACCCTGAGGTCTGATACCGTTTTGGTATAACTTGATTTCTTCAAGGTGAGTGTTTGCTTTGAAACCAATTGCCAGATAGTCGACAGAACCATTCTCCAGTCTATTACGGCCACACCAGAATGTTTTCAATGGGGGAGAGTTCTCTTTTTCCTTCAGCTTTGCCAGCTTGTACAGAGCTTTTCCGACTCTGGCACCGGAAAATGGACCGAGACCATTATTTGTCAAAATGAGGTGCTCCAGTGATTTGGCCTTTGATAGGAAGTCTTCCAAAATGTCGATGGTGTCCTGGCCAAGAGCATTATCACTCAGGTTCAAAACCTTCAAAGAAGGAGATTCCAAGATAACAGGGAAGAACTCGCTCAGAGAAGCAGGGATCTCGTTTTTGTCACGCGAGGTGTAGATATCTTGAAGGTTGAGGTGCAAGAGGGTGGAGGAGAACTTTTTGATCTCCTGAGCAAGGTGTTTGGAGCATTCTGGCGAAATGGTGTTTCCAGAAATATCAATCAATTTGAGGTCCTTTTTGGACGAGAGTTCATCCAAATAAGGCTTGATATCGCTCAAAGTGTCGAACTTGATCCCCTTGTTGGTAATGGAGTAAGTTTCCTCAGGCTTGATGCCCAAATCGATTTTATGAAGGGTGGTCATAATGCTAATATTGCAAAAAAATATTTTGTGGGAATATCATGGCAAATCCATTAACTACTACATCTACATGCTGACATTACTCATTTCTTCTTTGCAAACAAAGGAGAACCAATATCCTTTCCTCTCAACTTCACACCCAATGCTCTTTCCAATTTGGCCAACAGCTGCTGGTTAGGAATAGCTCTTCCTGCTTCGTAGTCGTTAATCACGTTTGGCTTTTCATTCACCTTGGTTGCCAGGTCCTTTTGTGTGAATTTCTTGTCCTGTCTGGCCTTTTGGATGGCCTTACCGACATTGGCATCCAGCTTCTTAGGAGCCACAATGTCGTCGGATCTATCCACTTTGGTAAGTCTCTGGCCTTCAGGATCGCCCTTGGCGTTGGTTGTTCCGTATTTCTTTTCCACAGAAACGACGGCACCCGATCTTCTAGCAGCATTCAGCTGTGACTCGGACCTCACAACTCTCTCCTTTGGGCCGGATCCACCGACTCTAGCCTTTTTTCCAATGATGGTAACAGAATCCCAGTCACTCATGATGATGAACAAATATTGATGTGAGTAATTGCCGTTTTTTGTTCGAGAAAAATACGCCGTGATTTTGGGCAATGCTTACGTAACATCACCACAAGTTGGTTTGGTTTTTTTTTCTTCAAGGTTTTTTCACCAAGCTTGAAAATTTGAAAACCATGCAAATCATGTACAGACCTGCCGTGGTCAGCAGACTTGGTTTGCGCCATTTGACCCGGTCTCTGACAACCCAGCAGCTGGCCAATCGGGTTCCCGGCGACCGCTACTACGAGATCAAGGACACAGTGGACGAATATCTTTACTACAAGTCGTTGACTCCCAGAATCAGAGAACTGGTCTACAACAACCGCAATCCTCCCAAATCGATCAACCAGTTCCCTCTGGACCTCGAAGGTAGACCTCTAGTTCCAAGAAAGGTGCCTACTACTCCATCTGTCCGGAGATTTGCATTTTTCATCGACGGACTGTTAGTCCGTGCAGAGCTTGACGACGTGCTTGCCATGATTCCCAAACTCGACCAACATGCACCTTCTTTGCTAGAAACATCCGTGATACTGTCCCTGTTGTACAAGGCGGCCGAGTTCAAGTGTTTATCCGAGACCTTGAGATTGATCTATTCAACTAACGCTTACAAGAACCGGTTGAAGACGGAGTCTGTGATTTCCGAGTCGATTGTTCTGTTGCGTGCGATGGAGATCGAGCAGCTAGGAATTACCGATGTGGACTGGTTCTTGAGAAAGACCAGAACCGCCAGACACAATGCATCGTTCAAAACCACAACATTAGAAACAGCCATCATTGCACAGCTTTCCGCGATGATCAACTTGCAACGGGCCCAGATTGCTGCCGGGGGCCAGTCCGAGGAACGCGTGAACACTTTTGCAGACAGACTTCTGGAGAGACTTGCCGGTTTTTCAGGGTTCCAGATCGTGGACTATCACAAGTCCAACCGGATCTCCATGTATTACGGGCTGGAGAACACCTACACGCTTGCCAAATACCTAGAGAACTGTGTGTCCAAGGCACCGGAACTTCCTCAGACTCCGAAGTACGCCGAGCTCGTGGAGAAGAACAGAGAGTTTATTCTGGCTGCCGAGAAGTTGCAGCAGGAGATAGGCAAGAAAACCACGCTTTTGGAAAGCCTGGGCAAAATCAAGTTCGAGGCCAAGAAGCCGCAACCATCCGAGCCTGAGCCAAAGCAGGAACAAGCCGCCGAGTAGGTGTTGTACATAGTAAATTAATCCAGTTCAATTATAGGGTGCCTACACCTCAAACCAGGGCTCAGGTCCGGGCTCAGTTATTTCCAAATTTACACCTGTAAGACTGAACATTGTTTTTTTCAAGCTAACATGTTGTCTGCACTCAGAAAGCGCACCGGCAACAAGTCGGATGACGACTTCAACAGCCGACAAAATCCGCAGGTCGACACGATGGAAGAGGATGACGATGATTTGAGTGATTCTCAATCGGAGGTGGTTGAGAAGAAGAAGAACAGAAGACCCAAGGAGAATGCGTTCACCCAGCAGAAGTTGAAGGCGTACCATCCGATTTTGACTCCGAAGACGGTGATTCCGTTGCTGCTGGTGATTGCCATCATTTTCATTCCAATCGGAGGAGGTATGCTGTACGGATCACACAGTGTCCAGGAGTTTGTGATTGACTACAGTAATTGCAAGATTCTTGCGAACGACGAGTATTTCACCGAGATTCCCGAACAACTTTACAAGTTCCAGTTCAAGAACGAAATCACCGTGAAGCCGCAGTGGAAGCTGGCTACCAACGACTCATACATATGGAACGGCTTTGACGAGGAGCGGGACATTTGCCAGGTCCAGTTCCAAATTCCGAACGATATTGGGCCCCATGTGTACTTTTTCTACCGGTTGAAGAACTTCTGGGCCAACCACAGAAGATACGCCAAGAGTTTCAGTGAAGATCAACTGAACGGAAAAGTTGCCTCCATTTCGGATATCAAGGATACCGTGGGACAGAATTGTGAGCCTTTGTCGATCAACGCAGACGGAACAAGATACTATCCGTGTGGATTGATCGCCAACTCGTACTTCAACGACACTTTCTCGACCTTTACTGCCGTGAACGACACAAACACCGACTACATGCTCTACAGAGAGAACATCGCATGGTCTACCAACAAAAATCGGTTCAAGAAGACCAAGTACAGTCCTTCGGAGGTTGTTCCTCCTCCTAACTGGCACAAGATGTATCCCGACGGCTACAACGAGACAAACATGCCAGATATCAGCCAATGGTACGAGTTCCAGAACTGGATGCAGACGTCTGCTTTGCCATTGTTTTCCAAGATGATTTCCAGAAACGACCAGGACGTTCTGCATGCAGGTACGTACCAAGTTGACATTGGCTACCATTTCCCAGTGACCCCATACAAGGGCCACAAGTACCTCTATCTGTCAACCAGAAGCGTTATCGGAGGAAAGAACTCGTTTTTGGGAATCAGCTGGATTGTTGGAGGCGGAATCTGTTTTGTTTTATCTTTGGCGTTCCTCATTGTTAATCTTGTCCACCCGCGGAAAGTTGGCGACCTTAGTTTGTTGTCATGGAATAAAGAGTAGCGATTTTATCCACAGAGAAAAAAATGATACATATTTATGTAAACACACAGTGGTAAATAATAAAGGGAACTATTGAAAGAATTCTGGCGCTTAACCGGTTGATATGTGCTGCCATTTTTACTCAATAGCGGTTGTCCTGATCAACAAGAACTAACTTGGAAACCATCTGCATAATGTCTTACAAAACGGGCAGATCCATGCTGGATCTGTTCCGAGAAACAGATGACGACCATAACAACAATAACTACACAGATGAATTCGAAACTGCAGAGTTGCTCACCACTACACGGAAGTTTCTACAGCAACAGTATGAAATCGATAACGCGCTAAAACAAATGAACCCAAACAATGTTAACCACAACAACCGTCGTTCTTCAACACTTGGGCAACAATTAACTCAGAAGGAACGCCAAATGCTGGGTCGCACTGGAAATAAACAGCGCGAATCCTCTGTGGCTTTGCGGATCAATCGATCTGGTCGTCCGAGTCACTCAAATCGCTCAAATCGCTCAAATCGATCCAATCGTCCTGATCTGCCTAAACTGCGAAATCATACTCTTCACGCCATGTCTGATCTCTCCTCTGACGAATTCGCCAAATACGTTAAACTCAAGCATGTCGGCAGGGGAGCATACGGCGGCGTTTACCAAACCAAGCATTCCGTCACTGGAGAAATATACGCCATGAAAGTCATAGAGCTAGATTCATACCATTCAGATCAGCCGTCCAGTTCTTCCGCCACCTCGTCAACACAGGAACATCTCATGAACGAAATACTCATCATGAAGCAATTCGATAATGTCAATGTTGTCAAGCTATTTCATTACCACATGAATTCTACGTCCATGAACTTGATCATGGAGTTCTGTGACAGTGGCTCCCTTAGGGACCGCTACAAAGCCAAGGGGCCATTGCCCGAACTCGAAGTCGTTGAGTATACCAAACAGATACTCGACGGTTTAATATACCTTCATCGCAAACACTTTATACACAGCGACATCAAGGCTGCCAACATATTGCTCAAAAAGGGGATCATCAAATTGGCCGATTTTGGCGTGAGTACCAAGTTCGAAATCAAAGACGACATCGAGACTCTACGAAGTGATAAGAAGAAAAAGGAAGCCAATGGTTCGCCTTACTGGATGGCTCCTGAAGTTATCAGGCTACAAGGAGTATCTACTGCCTCCGATATCTGGAGTTTGGGAGCTACCGTTGTTGAGCTCCTAACGACCCAACCACCCTTTTACCAACACGATCCGTTCCCAGCATGCCATGCGATTGGCTCAGGGGAACCTCCTGCAATTCCTTCGGGCATTTCAAACGAGTGTTTTAAGTTTTTAGCCGATGGTTGTTTCCAACAGGATCGCAAGGCTCGATTGACCGCTGAACAGCTTTCGAAACACCCATGGATAGTAAGAGACGCTCGTTTCGATGATTCAATGCGGTCGAGTGTCAACAAGGAAAACCGAAACGGGTTCTTGAAGCAGTACAATGAGCTGTTTCAAAGTAATTACGATAACGATTTTGAAGAGCAGTCAATCAATCTTCTCATGACCATCAATACCACCAACAAGAAACAAAGACTCGAGATATACAAGGAAACCAATTCCGGCGACAGTGATGATGATTTCATTGATATGTTTGATATTGATGATTTCAAAGATCTTGGCATCGAGGATCAGCAAGAAGTGAATATCCGAGAACAGAAACAGGAATTCATTCGAGAGCTAATCGAGAAGACAGAGGAGGCAGACCTGGAGGAACTTCAGTTTATCAACAAGTTCGCCTCTGACAAGGAGGATTCCATGAACCAGGACGACGACGATAAGGTACAAACCGGGCTAGACTTTGTAATTTCGTGCCTCATTGATCAGAAGTTTGTCTACAAGTTGAATTCCAGGATAATAGTTGAGCAATCCGACGATTGCAAGATTGAGCTAATGAAGATAGCTATCAAGCTATTCGAGAACGATAGCCAGAGTCTTGTCACGTTTTACCATTGTGGTTGCACTTCCAAGATTATTAAGGAGCTCTATGAGGAGGACTGCGTCTTCCAGTATCTGAAGATGCTTGTCAAGTCGTACCTGCCGACGATATCTGTTATATCTACCGAGATATGCGAGATTTTGGTGACGATTTTAAAAGATGGCGACCCGCTAAGGTTCAACGATTGTGTGGATATGCTGATCGACCTCTTTAGAAACGACAAGATTGAGAAGCAAGGCATGTCGGCCATCACGATTTCTCACTCGCTACCTCAGACACTGGCATTCAGTCTGAGCAATATTCGCGGTCATTTGAACGAGGCCAAAGAGGCAGAAGCCGGTCAAATCGTCAAGCTGCTTGCAAAAGTGGCACACTATTCTTCCAACTACGAATGCAGCAAATTCTTCACCAAGGACTTCTTCACTTGTTTATTCAGAAGGTTCAACAAGATACCGTTTGAGCTCAAACTGGAGATAGTCAAGATCGTGCACCGGTGTGGGAAGCTTGTTGAGCAAGTATTGGAGCAGCTGGATAGCACCCAGATCCAACACGTCTCTGATCAAATATTGGAGGACCTATCCACTGAAGATTGTTCCCGAGTGTATGAGAAGTTTGTGAAATGTGTGATCCCGCTTCTGCACAAACTCTGTTTGCTGGATCCAGACAGACAGGCCGATCTTTTATCTCCCAGCAGTATTGAACTGTTTTCGCATCTGTTGAGACTATTTCCCAACAACAAACGCACAGAGTCTGTTAGGACCCAGATAATCAATCTGTTTATGGACGCGGTTGGGAACACAGAGCTTTCGCATGTCTGCAAACGGTACGGTGCCATTGAGATCCCTATTATTGTTCTTGGAGAGCCCGGCAGGCATGTGGATGCCATTACACGCATCTCAGAGCTGGTCCAGGCCGAGGATGACATTCTTGACGAGACGTTCCGGAAGAAGCCAGCGCTTGTGAGCATGTTCCTGGCGAGTCTCAAAGTGAACGAGGAGCTGGGCCCGTTTCTTGGCGAGCTTTTGAAGATTCTCCAGAAATACCAAATATTATGGACAAAGACACAGAAAAAACACCCACAGGCATTCAGCATATACAACTACATGTGCTCCTCGGAGGAGCTTCTCAACTGTCTTTTTGAACGGCTTTCGCAGCCGCAACTGGTGGACCCGATCCAGGTGCTACGAGTGTTCCAGCTATTGTACGAGCGCAGACCGCAAAGTTTCATGTTGCGGGAATTCAAGTCGGCATTTCGCGATCTGCGGGACGAACTGGACAAGCCGGACTTGCCAGACCGGTCTTCATGCATGATCGACATGATTGACGAGATTCTGGCTGACCGGTCATGACTTGATCTGTGACCCACCCCCGAGAACAAGGCTGTGCAACAGAAAAAGGCCGTTTATTAGTCATTTAAAAAGAATAAATAGTATAGCCTAGAAGTATATAGACAAAATTGTTTTAGACCTGTACAGATGGATATCAATGGGGTTGAGTCTGGAGATCTAAAGGAGAAGTCTTCTTTCTTCAAAGACGTAGTGATCAAAAACTATCATCCGATATGGAACGTTGCATTTATGACCACTGGAATATGTTCTGGGGTACTATTTAGGTTTCCGTACGAGTTTGGCGTTTTCCGCATCTTTGGGCTGATCATGTGGGCCATATCGCTTTTACTGTTCCTCATGGTGAATGTGTTTCTCATTCTAAAGCTATATTGGTTTCGAGGGTTTGGAGTGCAACTTGCTACCGAAATCCAGTTCAATGTGTTTCTTGCTCCGTATTCCATGGGTTTTAGCACCATCATCAACATGATCCACCTGGTGACGGCCCACTACCACAAGAGCTTCAAAGTTGGGCTGGTGATCATGTGGTTTTTGAATTTTATCATGGCGTTGCTCTGTGGGTGGGGTTTAGTTTTCGTGCTATTTTGGAAGAGTAAGATAGACCAGGCACAACTGAACCCGCAACTGATTCTGCCGATACTACCGTTGACCGTGTGCGGGTCCTGTGGAGCGCTGATTTGCTCGGCGTTCGTGTCGTACTCAAGCCGGCTTCAGCTGATGATGATTCTATTGACGTATCTACTTTGGGCCAATTCCGTCATCATCGGGGTTTGCCTGATCGGCATTTTCATCTGGAAGATGCTCATTTACAAGCTCCCACCCAAACAGCTACTTTTTAGTCCGTTTGCGCCTATCGGGCTGATAGGTCACGGTGCGTGGGGAATTATTCTAAACGGGAATAATCTCCACACCTATTTGGTAGCACACCCCTTGAAGGGCCAGATTGACTCTGTGCAGCTAGGAACTAGCATCAAGTTCATGACAGGGATGATTGGTCTTTCGCTCATTGCCATAGGCTTCTTCTTTACGTTTCTAGGGTTTGCCATGTGGGCGGTGTATGGCCTGCCAAAGTTTAACAAAACGTACTGGATCGTGCCTTTCCCAGTTTGCGCGTTGAGTTTGGGAATCACCGAGTTCTACAACACTTTCGGCGTAGGCCCGTTTCGTGTCGTGGGAACCATCTACGCAACATTCGGCGTGCTGATGGCGCTTTGCTGTCTCGTCGGAAGCGTCTTTTACGAGGTGCCGTACGGCAAGCGGAAATTATAATTTGGAGCGAGGTGTAATTATGAATATCAAGGCAACAAAAAAAATATATTAATAATTCAAACACCTTCTTTGCTTCTCTAAACCAGACGCCTCACAATATGTTGCCTTCGCAAGCAGAGGTGGCTAGCTTCCCTCAACAGGAAGGGGTGTTTGATTATTTGCCGTATATCGACCCGGAGCCCTCCAACGACGTGTTGGCCGTTGTTGACGATTTGATTCAGGAGGAACTCATGAAGTTCAACCTGAACCAGTTGCATCCAAAGCTCGCAAACGACCCATCATGCATTGGAGACGAGGACAGAAGTCTCCCAGTGACCGAGGATGGAGTGGGCGGTATCAGTTTGTCCAATTACAGCAACCTGCTGAACGAACAAAACGAACTGGATATCAAGAAGATGAAGACGGCTTTATCCTATTCGCAGCTGCGGTACCGCACCCTTGTTCTCAACACGCAAGAGAACGCACAGGAGACCAACAAGAACAAGTGGATGGTCCATCTAGATAATTTGAAACAGCATCAGGACGCATTAGAAAGAACGATCGAGCGCAAGAAACGACAAAGGGAACAGGTTAATGGCGAACGGAAACGTCAGTGCACGCAGTTCGAGCCGCTGAATGACTATTTGAAGACCAGGTGGTCGGAGAAGTTGGAGGAGCTGGTGGACATTGGAGTCGAGGCAGCTCTTCATGAGGCAGAGAATTAATGACTACGTATAACGACTTACCAAGAAAAACATTACAGCTACGCTCACATATTATAACTTATGACAATTATCGAGTATGTATCTAAGCAAGAACGTCAGCATCGTACTTAGCCTTGAACCAAGAAATAGTGTCCTCCTTAGAACATTTGTGAGAAACACCAACAGTACCCCTAGCTCTCTTTCTTCTTGCAACTCTGAAACCGGCTCTACCCATCACAACGTAGAAGTCCATACCGTAGATACCGATACCTGGGTCGTACTTGATACCAAGGTCGATGTGTTCTTGGATACCGAAACCAAAGTTTCCGGTCTCGGAGAAGTTTCTGTCCTTGAGTTGGTATTCTTTCACCTTCAATCCTCTCTCCAAGATCTCGTCAGCCTTTGGTCCTCTGACAGTAACGTGAACGGCGATCTTCTCATTTCTTCTGATACCAAAAGTTCTAACAGTGTATCTGGCTTTGCTCTGCACTGGAGTTTGACCAGACAGTTGTTCCAACACCTTGGATGCTCTGGTCAATCTGTCACCAGACTCACCAACACAGATGTTGAGAATCAACTTCTCAATCTTGAGTTCTTTCATAGGGTTTTGGCTCGACATGTCGATAATACAAGATAATTCAAGAGTTGATGTACAAAAATTTTTCATCCATCCACACACCACCAGAATTGGCAGACAGTACGGGCAAATGAAAAATCATGTGATCTTGTGCGGTTTTTGAAACCCTGTCTGGTGCACGGGTTTTTGGCGGCCCAAGTTTATTTACCAGTGGCAAAATACTGTAACCATCTCTGTCACCATGTCTATTGCTGATATCGGGAAAAGATTCACCTACAAGACTCAATTCGAGCAAGAACTCGAAGAGGCATCGTCCGAGTTTCAGAGACTCCAGCCATCGCTCAACTCGCTGGCCCCAAGCATCGCCGTTCCTCCTATCTCACAGCCAACAGACTTCCTTAGAGCACACACAGATTATGACTCCAACTCCGATTGTAAAATAAGAATGGCACACGGTACCACCACCTTGGCGTTTAGATTCCAGGGTGGTATCATTGTGGCTGTCGATTCGAGAGCTTCTGCCGGAAATTGGATCGCCTCCCAAACCGTCAAGAAGGTCATTGAGATCAATCCAATGTTGTTGGGAACCATGGCCGGTACCGCGTGTGACTGTCAATACTGGGAGACCTGGTTGGGTACCCAGTGCAGATTGCACGAGCTCAGAAACAAAGAGAGAATCTCGGTTTGTGCTGCTTCCAAGATTTTGAGTAATCTCGTTTACAGTTACAAAGGAATGGGATTGGGAATGGGAACGATGATTTGTGGTTACACTCCAAAAGAAGGTCCTACCATATATTATGTCGATTCCGATGGAACAAGATTGAAAGGCGACCTGTTCTGTGTTGGCTCTGGTCAGACTTTCGCTTACGGTGTTCTTGATACTAATTACAAATGGGAACTGTCTGTGGACGACGCTCTTTACCTGGGTAAGAGGGCCATTCTCGCAGCTGCACACAGAGACGCTTACTCTGGTGGTTCGATCAATTTATTCCACGTGACTGAACAAGGATGGGTGTTCCACGGAAACCACGATGTTGGTGCCCTGTTCTGGGAAATCAAGGAGAAAGAAAAGTCGTTCAACAACGTTGAAGCATGATTTATCATATATCGGTTCACAATACAACGCATCTGCGCATATACAATTATTGCTCAACTTTAGAAGACTTGTATTCGGGTTCGTCTTCTTTGGTCAAGTCTAGAGTGTCCAATGATCTTTTTCTGGTCTCGAAGTCGACTTCCTGAGAATGCTGAGCCAAAAAGTTGTCCAGATCAAGTTCTTTCGGCGTGTCCTTGTCGGTGTCCATGTTATCCAACATCATCTTGAGCTCCATGTCTTCCAGCTCTGGTTTATTTTTCGAAACTGCAGTGACAGGAGGTGTTGGATGCGAGAATTTCTGGAATTGTAGCTGGATGCTCTCGTTGTCGTAGCTCGTCTGTTTCTGGAGTCCCGGTTTATTAACAGGTTTCGCGTTAGGAGGAACCACAGACGAAGGCTTACCGTAGTATTGTGGCTTTCTTATCGATGGGATAGGAGAATGAGACGTTGGTGGATGCGCCGAGGAGTTTCCCGCTTGGATGGATGAAATCGGCTTGATAGAATTGGAAGACGCAAGAGGCTTTGGGACCTGCGGCGACGGTCTGGCAAACTGTTGGGCAGCCGACCGCGGCGGAACAGGCTCTGCGGGTTTGGTAGCAGGAGGAGCCGGCGGCGGCGTGCTTGCGGGAGGAGTCAGTCCTTTCTTCTTGGTCACCTGGATGGTGGCAGCATTCAATGCTGCAGACAAAATCTTGGTGATATGGGCAGGGTTCTTATCAATCAAGGTCACCAATGGGAACCCTTGGATTCCTGCATTCTTTGCGGCCTGGTTCACCTGGGCAATGGTCATTGCGAGCGCCTGCGTCAGGATCTGGGTGGTTGTTTCTTTATCGTACATTTTGCGGTCTTTGGTTAGACGGATAAGCTCTTTCTGAAGATAAGATAGGGCTTTCTTTGTGTCGCCAGACAATTTGGACCCCGAATTTGTTTCCGGGGTGTTCGTCTCGTTTGCAGGAGAACTGGACGTTTCGGGACTGGAACGAGGCGGCTGCTGTTGTTGGAATTGCTGGGAAAGCGTCTGCAGATGCTGTGTGGCCTTGATATTGGCCAGTTCGATCTGTTTGCGCTTCAACCGTTCCTTCTCAGCAAAATACTCTTCGTCAAGACCCCAAAGCCAGCCCTTTCCTTCCTTGCACACCTTGCGGAATGACTTGTTCAGCGAAAGGTTGTGTCTGACCGAACTCTGCCACCCATCAGGACAATAATAATAATAAGGATACAATTCCTGGATTCCTTTGTAGATCTCAGAAAGAGACATTCCTTTTTGCGTGCCCTTTTGTCTCAAACACTCTGCAATGAGCGTCGAGTACGAGAAGTTCGGCTTGGTTCGGTACTCTTCTGGAATTTCTTCCGGCTTGTAAACTTTCTTAACCGGCTTCAAAGGTTTCTTGAGTCGGTCTTTGGCAGACTGAATAAACTGCTGAGAGCGCCCCGCAAAGGCATTCAGACTGTCTGGAATTGGAGAAGAGGTACCATCTCTTGCAAAAGCAGCAGCAGCTGCGGCAGCCTCTTCTCGCTTCACAACCGAGGCCTCAGCATTTGCACGAAGCTCGTTGACAAAATCGTCCCCGAGCTTGAGAACAGGCGCAGACTTGGTCTCGGCACCTTTCATATGCTGCGGAGTCAAAGAACCTTCTCTCGAGCTGCCGCTGCTATTCTCCTGGGTGTTGGAAAACGATGTTTTCAAACTAACTGCATCTGATGGATTGATTGGTTTGATCTGCTTCCCGTTTTTCGAATTAGAAACGGTTTCGTCTGTTGGTAAAATAAACTTGAACCTCGTTTCCCCAATCTGTATTCGCGTATTGTCCTTCAAAGGGAGAGTGACCCCACTTTCAACAAACATATCGTCGACAAAGGCCCCGTTTCTCCCCACAACAGATAACTCAAACCGTTGGTTACCAAAGTTGTAGAATATTTTTGCGTGTCTTCTAGAAATGGCCTTCTGTTGTCCAAGATGAACGTCCAAAGAGTCTGTGCTTGTATCTCCTTCAACCAATCTTCCAAGTAATATTTGCATCGTTTGCACATAAAAGGTAAAATTCTCAAAATCCAACATTGCATATGCTTGAATGTTATCAGATCCCTCTGCTCTGTCTGGAGATTTGAATTTCAGAGACTGAGTAGACATCGGTAACTGTGTCGGCGTGGAAATTCCCTGAGATGCTTTCGTTGTATCAGCTTCGTGATCCCGAAGATCACTGATCGGATCATCATTTAAAGGTGTCGGCGTCATATCCCAATATTTTTGTCCGATCTATCTATTGCATTGATCAACTGAACGTGTCTTGTTGACCTATCAATAACACAAATACACAGAAGCGCGTGTAAAGGTGTAACCAGTTGAATCTCAATCGCTGTTATGAACTGCGAACGTGTACAAAGATTAGAATATAACTTTTGACAAGAAATAAATTAATTTTTTTTTCCCTCCCTTAAAATTTTCATTATCTACAGCCCTTAGACGATCGACGCGCCGGTAGGGATCTGGTTGAACTGTCGTTATTCATTGACTAAGTCCTATAACTTCTTCTAAACTGCGCCGTTTCAAGAGAATAGCATCAAGAATTTGGTGCACATGACTGTTTCCCGTGATCCGGTTGGTTTCCTCTCGGGTGAGCAACTCAAACACTTTTCCTTCCTTCACCAAACTGATAAGATAGTACGGATCGTAATCGTATCCGCTATAAGGCGGGAGTCCCGTAGCCGCCTGCAGCAGCACAAGACCAGCACTATACAGGTCTGTAGCATAATCGGGGAGCTTTGTTTGGTCTTTCAAAAGTTCCGGAGGTGTGAATTGCAACGTCATTTCGGGCTGTTCATGGATATCTATAATTTTTGAAGAGGACGTAAAATCAATGAACTTGAATATTGGACGTGGACCTAATGTGGTCCCCACCAATATGTTGTCTGTTTTAATGTCGCAGTGGACAGCCCCAATGTCTTGAAGAACTTGAAGCCCCTTTAAAATGAAATCGAGAAGCTGGTACCAGTTATCAAGCCCAATAGCCGGCTCAGTAGCCTGTGTGGTTTGCTTCTTCTCGTTGATGAATTTATAAAGGTCTGTATCGTAGTTTTTCATTAACAAGCATGGAAGTGTATCTGTCTTTTTCATCATTGGGAATTGTGATTTGCTGAGATAATAAAGTCCATAGGCATCAACAAACGGGAAAGAACTGTCGCCAAACTTTCTGAACCACTTGCTGTCTCTGTAGTCTCTCAAAGTAAGCATGAACTCTGTTTCTCGCTCCAATAGCTTGACCTTGTTTTTAGCGGTAGGAATTTTTATTGCGATATTCATTGCCACAGAGTTCACTTCTCTGGTAGCCAAAGTAGCCAGATGAACGTAGGAGTTCGAGCCCTTGCCGATCATCTTGTCTAGCTTGATTTCAAACACCTCGGGCGAAAGAACAAACGATTCCAAATGTTCCGTCTTCAGCTTATAAGGAACTGGCGAGTTGGTCTTAGAGGAAGTCTTTGGAATCTCGGGTAGCTTGGACGATACCTGACACTTGGTATCTAACAGATTCGAAAGAAGATCATGCGTATTGTCGAACTTGTGTGGCGCTGGGGAAGTTGGCGAGTAATAAAACGAATCAGTAGCAGCGGAATTACTGACATTCGTTGTGTCAACCGTAATCGTATCGGTTCGAAGAGAAGTGCCTGACGTGCTCGAGACAGTTTTTGAGTCCTCAAACGTTGCCGAAGCCACTTCAAATACCGGGGTATAGGGTGGGGTCTGTGACATCTTTACTATAAACACATTGAATTGGAATCCGGTATGGTATTCTGAGCGGTTGTGTTGACTAAGTTGAGATGGACTGATATGAGAAACTCTGTTTAGATGGTTCAAACACAGTTCCGTGATTCAGGTTCTTTATATCTTAGGCAATTAAAGGGGGTTCCTTTTGTAACAATTTTTTTGTAGTGTGTCCCAATTTGGTATTGTTACACTGCCCAAAAGATTTCTTGCCGCCGAAAATGTTAGAGGGATGAAACAGGCGTCTAATTGATCGTGGTGTAAAGGTGTGCTTATTTTAGAGGGAGGAAGAAAAAAATAATCGGTTGATTTTTCAACCTTTCAGAACGATTTAAATAATAATCAATTTTTGATACGCCATGTTATTCTGTCGAAGTCAGTTTTTCTTTGTGAAAAACTCGTCTTTGTTGAAGGCCGGTTTCAAGAACACGTCTGTGAAACACAGCTCTCAGTTTCTCGGGATTGGAGCGAGAAAACCAAAGGCCGTGCAGCTGAGCACCATCCCATATTTTTCCTCTACACATACTCTGGCACTCCCAAAATCGAACTTGATTAGACCAAGTACTATCCGGAGTGGCTTGAGTCAAAAGCGGATGTTCTCAACGACTCCGATCTCGTTCCAGCAAGCCACAAAAACTATCAGACGATCCAAATGGCCTGCAAATACAAACAAAAACCTGGGTTATTTGTGTATCGGAACCTCGATTCTGGTGTTTGCGATTGTTATTTTGGGAGGCCTCACCAGACTCACCGAGTCCGGACTTTCGATCACCGAATGGAAACCAGTTACCGGAGCCATTCCTCCAAGAACGCAGGAGGACTGGGAAGAAGAGTTCAAAAAATACCAGGAGTCTCCAGAATTCAAACTTCTCAACTCGCACATCACCTTGGAAGAGTTCAAGTTCATTTTTTACATGGAGTGGTCTCATAGACTGTTGGGTAGAATTATCGGAACCGTCTTTGTGTTGCCGACTCTATACTACATTGCCCGCAGACAAGTTTCTCCTCCTGTTGCATTCAAGCTGCTTGGAATTTGTGCTCTGATCGGTTTGCAAGGAGCCATTGGCTGGTGGATGGTGTATTCAGGAATTGACGAGCAATTGCTCGAAGAACGTAAGTCCAAGCCAACAGTTTCTCAGTATAGATTGACTGCTCATCTGGGTGCTGCCTTTTTGGTGTACTGCACTATGATCTCTACTGGTTTCGGTATCCTTAGAGACCATGATATAATGAAACACCCAAAGGAGTATCTGGAGACCTTCCAAAAGATACAATCTCCATCTTTGAAGTTGTTCCGCAGGCTCAGTAAGGGATTACTGGGACTTGTTTTTGTCACTGCCATGTCTGGAGCTATGGTTGCAGGTTTGGATGCAGGATTAATTTACAACACTTTCCCTCATATGGGAGACGACTACATTCCATCTGCAAACGAGCTGTTTTCCCCTGTCTTTTCGCGCCTGGCCGACCAGTCTGACTTAATTTGGAGAAACATGTTTGAGAACCCGGCAACCGTGCAGCTGAATCACCGGATCATGGCTACTCTCACGTTATGCTCGGTGTTTGCTCTGCACATGTATTCGCACCGGATCAGGTCGATCATCCCCAGACCAGCCTACAAATGGCTCAATATCTCTATGGGAGTTGTATCGTTGCAAGTGACCCTTGGAATCTGTACTTTGCTATGGCTGGTGCCTATCGAATTGGCAGCAGCACACCAAGGTGGTGCTCTGGCTTTGTTGACCTCCGTTCTGATCACCGTCTGCCACCTGAAGAAACCAACTAGATCGAACTTGATGTTGTTGAAGAACTTCCTCGAGAAGTCCAAGGCCAACAACCCGATCCTGAAATGATAAGCCTGTACATAATGCCTGTATATAAAAACTAGTCTGTCATTTTTTAGGTCGGCTCTAATACGAAAAATTAATATAGAAATTCAACACTGGAAAACATCAGACACTTCTTGAGCAATGCTGTTTTTCTCCTTTTTCAAGACGCTGGTGGACCAGGAGGTAAGTTTGAGCAATATTGAGAATTCCGTAACTAACAATTAGATCACCGTTGAAGTAAGTTGAAACATCATGAAAGTACTAACAAACAGCTCAAAAACGACGTTGAAATCAAGGGAACCCTTAAATCGATTGACCAATACCTCAATTTGAAACTCGACAACATCTCTGCAAACACAACAAAATACCCTCACCTGATAGCAGTTCGCAATCTGTTTATCAGAGGATCGAACATCAGATACATTCACATAAACCCAAGCTTGGTCGACACGAACCTTCTTCAGGACGCCAGTAGAAGAGAGGCCATGGCCAGCTCCGGAGACAAGATTGGAGGAAAGTGATACTTTTGGATAGAAAAACAGTGAAATAGTGCAGGACACGGCCTCAACCGTTGCTACATTTATGTGTACATTATTAACCGGATTTTCCATACAAAATCTCAGGACACTGCGCTCGTTTGTGTCCTTGTTTTAAACAATGGGAACATGTCAGCTTCTTGGATTTCCGAGACTTGGATAGCTGTGCATGTTTTGTAGAGTTTTCTGGTGATTGAGTTGTAGTTATTGTGTTTGATTTCGTTCTGTTTGGTAGAAGAACGTATTTTGATTCGTCGGTATTGTTGTATAGCACATGGTCGCAGTTCGGACACTTCATGGGCTGCAAAGGATTAAAATCTTCCAGTGTATTATCACCTTCTTGCAATATTCCAGAATTTTTCAGCTTATTGAGATATCCATCCAGAACACCAATTTTGGTGGCGTATTCCTCCTTCAGACCCCTCAGCTCTACCTCCTTGCTCGATATCTTCTGCGCGAGTGCCCTGATTGTATCATTAACGCTTTCAAGCTGGCTAAGTTGGTTATCCATAAATTATATTAATCTAAAAAAAGCTGGTAAAAAAGATTATCTCTATATGAATGTGGACTTAAACTCCAAGAGCGCTAAAAAGCTAAATATATACGAATCAAGCGCCGGGCACTACACTACCGGCCGATCGTTAAAGTACAAACTGAAAGATGAGGACACGCTTGTTGATCTGGAAGACTTACCACGTCTAAAGAGCGATATCGACAAGGACAAGTACAAAACGCCAGTCGGTTATAAGTCCAAGGGAAGACCCATTGCACCGGACGAATTGCTCAATGGTGTCTTCAAGGTCGATCCCGGTGAACTGAAGTACCTGACGCGAGACGAAATCAAGGAACACACGTCTGTGGATCTGCCTTCTTCAGAACTGTTGAAAGCGTTGCATTATTATTTCGTTGACCGCATCCAACGGGATAAAACCATACCAGACACGCAGAAGGACCTCTTGTTCACGCGCTTCTGTGACGGATCGGCGTTGTTGGCTATGGGAGTCCTTGTTGAGAAGTGGATTGGAGATCTCGCCGACAAGGACAACGACACGTTCAAATATTACATGGAGCTGGACCAGGTAGAGGATCTGACAGATATACTGAAACGCAAGCGACGCGCCAACTACTATCGCCGCAAGGGACACAGAATCCAACCTGGGGCAGACACGAGTCGATCGACGTGAGTGGGGCGTCGGTCTCAAAAATTTTTATGGAAAAAATATTTCACAGAGCTCGTCTACATAGTACACAAATGGGAAAGAAGAGAGGCAACAAGAACGGTAATCAGTCCGGGAAGCGTGAGAACAGAGGCTACTGGAAGGAGATCGAGCGCAAGAACGATCAATGGGAGCGATATTATAAAGCACAAGGGTTGATTCCAGAGGAGGAGTTTGATCAGTTCAAAAAAACATGCGAGCAAGATCTGCCGTTGACTTTTAGAATCACCGGTTTCAAGAAGCATGCACACGAAATTTGCGACCTTTTCACCACAAAACACATGCCAAATTTGCAAAACGCAGACGACGAGACTTCCAAACCACCATTTCCGTTCCCTTGGTACCCAGGCCAGCTTGGATATCAGATCGATTTGCCAAAGTCGGTCGTGAAAAAGAACCCATTATACGCTTCTACTCAGAAGTTCTTGGTTGTTGAGACCGAGGTTGGAAATATTTCCCGTCAGGAGGCTGTTTCGATGATTCCTCCGCTCTTTTTGGACGTGCAACCACACCATTTCGTGATGGACATGTGTGCTGCGCCAGGTTCCAAGACCGCCCAGCTGATCGAGGCCCTCCACAGTGGAGGTGCCGAGCCAACAGGTGTTGTTGTTGCCAACGATTCTGATTACAAGCGGTCTCATATGCTTGTGCATCAGGTGAAACGGTTGAACTCTCCGAACTTTGTGATTGTGAACCACGATGCTCAGCTTTTCCCGAAAATGAAGCTTACCGAGGACGGAGACTACATTAAGTTTGACAGAATTCTGTGTGACGTCCCATGTACTGGTGATGGTACCATGAGAAAGAACCTCACTGTTTGGAAAGACTGGAGAATCGGAAATGCTCTGGGACTGCATCCATTGCAACTCAACATCCTGATGAGAGGTTTGCAGCTTTTGAAGAAGGGAGGAAGACTTGTTTACTCCACATGTTCGCTCAGTCCGATTGAAAACGAGGCAGTGATCGCTGCTGCTCTTCGCAGATGGGGCGGAAAGGTCAAGACCGTTGACTGCAGCGACATGCTTGTTGGATTGAAGAGACGGCCTGGTGTTTCTTCGTGGAAGACATTCGGTAAGGACTGGGAGGAAAAGACCAAGGAGACTGACACCAACAGTCTTCCAAACGGCGTGTTTTCTCCTACCGAGGAGGAGGCCAAGGAGTTCCATTTGGAGAACTGTATGAGAGTGTATCCACATGACCAGAACACGGGTGGATTCTTCATTACTGTTTTGGAGAAGGTTGATCCCGATGAAGAGTTGAGAGAGGACGAGGAGCCAGCCAGCAAGAAAATGAAGCTGGAGACCAAGACAGAGAACGCCGAGTCGGCTGTTCTTGCTCCAGTGAAGAAGGAGAGACTTCCAAGAGACGCGAACGAGGAACCGTTTGTGTTTCTGCCGCCTGACAACGAGGAGTTGCAAAAGTGTTGGGATTTCTATCAAGTCAAGGAGTCTTTCTCAAAAGACACAATGTTGGTCAGAAACGCTACCGGCGAGGCTCTGAGAACCATCTACTACGTTGCTCCTGTTGTGAAGAAGATCATCGAGACGAACGAGCGCAAACTGAAGCTGATTTACGCGGGTGTGAAGATGTTTATTTCTCAGAGAGCAGAGTACTCGCAGCAAGCATGTCCATGGAGAGTACAGTACGAGTCTGTTCCTATTTTGAAGGAGCATCTGGGACCAAACCGGACTTTCCAGATCAACCTTGATCTGTTGAAGATTTTGTTGAGCGAGCCGTTCCCAAACGTGAATAAATTGCGGGAGGATAAAGTGGACCCTGAGTTTATGCAGGAGATTACAGACTTCCCTGAAGGATGTTTTTTTGTTGAGGTGAACCGTGGCGAGGACAAGGAGGAGCTGTTCCTTCCATTGTGGAAAGGCCGCTCGAACTTCAACTTGATGGTCAACAAGCACGAGACCCACGAATTACTCTACAGACTGTTTGGGCTTGAAAATTAATATAGTGAATAAATTGGGTGACTAAAATGCATGTGACATTGATTGCCGCAGTTTTTTTTTTTTTATCTAAGATTAAATGAGCACACGACGGCAAGACCACGCTCGCTACTCCAGCATGAAGAGGTTTGGTCTGGGCGCAGCCACGTCGGGATCGTTGTATTATATGTCGCCACAGATGGCCAGCACGGCGTTTTCCAAGCTTTTTTCGCGTGTTGGTGTGTTCAATCTATTCGTGTTTCTGTTTATTTATTACACACGATGCCAGACGACCACGATGTTGCAGGTGGCCCGACTGACGGTCCAGAGCCTTCGAAGGTGTGTGCGGATGCGCCAGTTCCAGTTAATGTTAATGAAATTGCCAGCAGTCAACAGACAGGCTGCTGTGATGATGAACGGGTTATGTTTGATATGTCGAGATGAGTTGGAGAGCAAGCAAACAGTTCTGCTTCACTGTCGACACTCGTTCCATAGCGGATGTCTGGGCAGTTGGTATCAGGAGTGTGATAGTTGTCCATATTGTCGCACCAAGGTTGGATTATGATAATATATTTTTGCGCTCTAGAACAGCAATCACAACAAGTAGCACAAGTCCCAGGAGAAAGCTTTTGGCAAACTCCAGCGACGTGGTGGTCTCGTGGCCAATCACGCTCATCTGTATAGCAACGACAGCTATCGAGGCCGTCCAGAAGTAGACAAACTTCTGCCACTGCTGAGATTTGAAGTCGATGATGGAACGTAGCTTGACAAAACAAAAGATTATTCGCACCCCCATGTTGATCGAGTTGGCAACCACCAGACCAACCAGACCGAGGTCCCGGTACTGGATAAAGTACGTGGACGTGGCGTAGAAACAGATAGAGTTCACCAGCATCAGTCTGGAATACTGACTCACGTGTTTCGAGTCGGTGTAGATCGAATTGAACAGTGCCTCTGTGACCCCGTTGACAGCCAAAAACGGCAGATAGTACCAGTAGATCTGGAACACTTGCGACAGCTTGTGCTTGTCTGGGAACGACGCGAACGCCAGGTTGACCAGGTAGCTCGAATTCACTGGTGCAAAGATGAGTATCAGTGTCAGCAGATATATATAAAGCGTTGCAACCTTGAATATTGTATTATTGAGTGTGGCCATGGTGGATTTGGTGTTGAGCTTCAAGGCAAACTGTTTAGACACGTTCATCCTCAGGGACTCTTCGATTGGCTGGAACAGGATTCTGGCTAGCAACGACCCGTAATTCGACACAACCGAGTAGTAACCTTGGTCGAATATTGGAAACAGCTGGTTCAGCACGAATTTGTCTCCCTCGGTAAGGAAATGTTTGAACACCAGCTGCACAAACAGCGATCTGAGGTAGTTAAACGTTGATGTGGTTAAATAAATGCCCTCTGATGTTTTCGTGGGCCATATTAATCTGAATTTGGAGTAGCATCCAAAAATAGTGAGCGAGTAGCAGAACTGGGAAATCACGTAGCCAAACACAAAGGTCACGTCTGTAGACGAGCCAATTGCCAATCGCGTGACAACAAAGAATTGAACGGCGCATTTCACAAACGAGGCCATACTCTCTATTTTGGCTCTCTTTGCCATGTTGAGCTGTGCCTGGTTTAAGTTATAAAACGGCTCGCTAAGTAGTTCGAGGATTACAGAGGCCAAAACCGCTCCAATCCCCAACTGGTACTCCCATGGATGCAATTGAAGCCCGCTCAAGTCCAATTGCCAGTAGAAAACAGGAACAACCAGTGCTCCGCAGACTGCGAGCCCCAAATAGGAGAAATTTATCACTGTCTGGTAAAAGTTCTTGGCACTTGGATCCAGCGGTTGGAGCGCAAGTCTCACTGGCTCTCTGCTGATAAACAGCACGGATCCTATGACAAACTCAACCATGTTGGCGAATCCTAGCCCCGTAGGGCTCACAGATCGAAGTAACACCTGGTTGAGCGTGAAAGTCATTATTTTTATGACCGTTTGTCCTGCTATCAGAACACTGGCGGCCCGCGCGAGGTTAAACGCCGGGGGCGGAGAAGTGCTGATCGAGTCAGCAGTGGGTGTAGAAGACATTGTGGAAAAACGCCATGGGTTCGATTCAGGCAACGTGTTCGTAGTATGATGACGTTGCAATAATAATGTCTAAATATTTAATTTCTTCGCACAGCCTGAATAATCAATCAATCACCTACTTGATACAAGAACTATAAATAAAGGATGGTCGCTAATATACAATGTTCCGTTCAAAAGTCCTCCTGGTAACGGTACAGCACGTTTGCCCCGTGATGGCCGTTGGTCAAAGAAGCCAGCTCTTCTGTCTCGGAAACTGCTTCTGGAACATTATCGTTCAGGTTCAGAGACAGCGTAGCGTCGTCGGTAGTGGCCACCACCTTCTCTGTGGACTTGAGTTTGGCCGTATCCAAGTGTTTGGCGCCGGTGGGCGAGCTGATTTCTGTCGACTCTGAATTTTTCAAGTGGTTCACCGTTATATCGTTGTCTTGATGGGTATTATGATATTGCGGATTATGAGGATAGTGCGAGTGGTCGCCGTAGTCCTGTTCGTAAAGCTGTTGGACGTATTCGCTCTCTTCGAAGTGGGATTTGGGCTGGTCTTTGGAGTCCGTGTCGTCCACTGGATATTCCAGGAAATCTTCCTCTTCTTTCTTCATTCCCGAGTCCAGGTCCTCTTCACCCTCGTCCTCCTGGTCCATGGTATCCTCTGTGAAGCCGTTCTTCTTGGACACCTTCTTTTTTCGAATTTCTCCTCTTTCTTGCTTCAAAGCCTGCTGTTCTCTGTACTTTGCCAGGTAGATTTTGAGCACCTCGCTGTAGTTTTCAAATCCCAGGTTCGTCATCGAGTACAAAATGTCCTCTCCGTTGATGGTTTTACGTTTTTCCATCAAACACTTATCGCTGGCCTCGCTTGTTATGAACGAGATAAACTCAGACACACACTCTTGCATGCACTCTTTCGCGTCCTTGGAAACTTTGGCCGTAGCCGGAAGCGTGTTCTTCATCAGCCGCGCCACATTCGCAATAGGCAGCCATCTGTCCTGCTCGCGGAGCTCGAAATCCTGCGAGGTCATGTCTGGAGAAACACTGACTAAATATTTTTTTAATCTTGCCGGACGCAGCGACCAAGGTGGGGGGTGGATTAAGAAAAAAAATCTGGCACTTAATTATTTCGTTAATGTCAGAACACGAGGAAATTAGTGACGTTGAGGAGGTGGAAGAGGTTTTGCCGCCCGTCACCAATCGCCAGATGAGCTCGGATGAGGTCAAGCGGCTTGCGCAGGAGCGGGCCAAGATCAGACAGCAGTCGAAGGCGTATTCGCAGCCTGTTGATGAGGACGGTGTTCCCTTGGATGTGAAGAAAGCGGAGGAATATTTGGAACAACCGATCAAGGAACAGAAAGATGTGGAATTGGCCGAGAGATTGCTCAAGAGGAAACGCGAAGAGGATCTGGGAATCGATGGAGACAGTGACGGCGAGGATATTGGCGAGTTATTGGATATGTTTGGAATCGAGGTGGAGGAGATTTCCACAAAGATGAACATGAACCAACGACAGCAGCTACTGGTGGAAAACATGGACTCGGAACAGCTCAGCAGGTATGAGTATTTCAGAAGAACGAACTTGAACACGGGAGGAATCAAGAAACTGGTCAATAGTGCGATTGGCTACAACGTCGGAACAGACTTTGCCAAGATCCTGGCCGGTGTCGGCAAAGTTTTTGTGGGAGAGGTGGTGGAGAAGGCGAAAGAGGTGCAACGAAGACAGAACGAGGCGCGCGTGCTGGAACAGCTGCAGCACAAACGAGAATTGAAAGCATACGAAGACGAACTGGAGAAACTCGATTACTCCGAAATACCAAACGTTCCCGACCTTGGCAAAGACCGCACCACTTACGATAACTACCGGATCAAGATCCCGGACGACGAAGACCAGCTCACCCCGGACCACATCCAAGAGGCCTGGAGATTGTTAATGGCCGAGAATCACACAATTCTGGAGCCCCGGTGGCGCAAACAAGGTGGGGGCGATGGGTTCATGTTTCGATAGTTGCAGTGTATTATATTAGATTTTAAAGTGGTCTTCATATATTAATTATAAAACGTTTGACTCACACACGGAAAAACTAGAACGGGAGAGAGTAGTACTAATTAAAGTCACCCTCGATAGAGAAAACACACACGCACGCACACACGCGTACACACACACATATACTTTTCGGTTTGGGGATAACAGTATGGTGACACTTTCCAGTCGTTAATCTTTTCTAGGCACACACAAATAAGAAAAGAGTGTTGACTGGACTGTATCGGAGTTGTTCAAATTGTTCAGTTAGAAACTTGAGTAGTTCCTTCTTTAGCAGCAAGCTTAGCTGATTCTCCTTCCTCGGTATCCTCAGTAGCTTCTGGTTCGTCTTCAGCTTCATCGTTGTCATCCTCAGCCAGGAAAGCAGCTCTCTCGTCTGGGTTAAGACCAGCAAGAACTCTCTTTTCAAGGTTAGGGATATCGGACATTCCGTACCAACCAATAACGATGATACCGACAACACCACTGACAGCAGAGAACACCAGAGCGACAATACCTCTGGCAGTGAAACCAGCAGGAAGAGCTTTTTCTTGGACGTTTTGACCAGTAAGGTCGAAGAAGTCCTTGTCGTTACCAGCAGCATTACCAACGTAGCTCATGTTGACGTTTTCACAGACCTGCTTCCAGTTATCAGTCAAGGTCTCGTTGGCTTGGATTCCAAGAGGATCCTCAATGAACACCATGGCAAGACCTTGGATCAAGTGCCATTCAATATGGCAATGGAAGAACCAGACACCTGGGTTGTCAGCCTTGAATCTGATCACAAAGTAGGACTGAGGTTGCACGTACAAGACGTCTCTCTGCATTGGATATTCAGGAACATCGTACGGAGCAGACTCGTTGTAACTGATTGGAGAAGCTTCGTCGCTGTAGTCTGGACCTCTTTCAATGACCTGGAACACGTGACCGTGCAAGTGGAACGGATGCTTACCTGTATCCTGGTTGTTGAGGACAATTTCCACGATTTCGTCTTTCTGCAGGACAATCGAGTGGGTGTTGGTTCCGTAAACAGTAGCATCCGTAGCATTTTCACCAGCAGACATGACGGTAGCAAGAGCAGGAACAACTGGAGCAACATAGGAAACTCCAGAGAAGAAGGCATAGTTAACACCGTTTCCAAGGTTGTCCATGACAACGTCCAGAGTGACCTGATAATCATAGCTGTCGTAAGCTTCTTTCTTATCCAGAGGAACAAGGTAGAAGTCGTCAAAGTAAGCAGTGTCATAATTGTCAATGGTGTACTCGTCTGGTAAATCTGCACTGTCGTTATAGACAATGTAATTGGTAGCATTAAGAACCAGGTCATCAGGAGTGGTATCCAACATGGTCTCGTCGAACTTTTGCATGAAAGCATAGTTTCTAGACGTGTCGTTCTTGGTGTGGATTAACACATCGTAACGCTGGGCCACGGTGATGTAAATCTCGTCGGTCTCGTTCTTTTCCACATAGACACCATCAACTGCGATGATAGTGAAGGTGTGGTCCTCCATGTAAAGGTACTGAGAAACGAAACCACCAATGTTAATCAGACGCACCAAATAGGTTGTATCTGGTTTGACGTGCCAAGTGTTGTTTCTGGTGTTGTTCATCAGCAGGTTCTGAGGAATTGGCTCAGCACCAGTTGGGTTGTACACATTCAAAAAGCTGGAAGTCAAAGTATTAACGTCATCATGGTACCATTCAGTCAAGGAAATGACAACTTCCTCATCCCATTCGTATGGAGGATCAGGGTCCTCAATCACAAAAGTACCTCTCATACCGTCCATATATTGACCAGAAGTATGGGAGTGGTACCAGAAAGAACCGACTTGATCAGGAACAGTAAAGTTGTACAACATGGTGTCACCAGGAGCAATAGGACACTGAGTGAGCAAAGGAGGACCGTCCATTTGGGTGCTGTGTTCTTGGAACAGACCGTGGAAATGCAATGTGGTATTAGCATCCGTGAATCCGTTCGTCAGGTACAGCTCGACACGATCACCCTTGTTGACCCTGATGTCAGGCCATGGGAATTCACCGTTACAAGAAATAACTGGTCTTTCATAAGTTCCGTCGGGATTTGCATTGACCCAACCGGTAGTCCAGTTGAAAACATGGGTTTCTGCCAAAGCAGCAGCTGCAAAAAAAGCTGAAGAAACAAGAGACAATCTCATTCTCCCCAGAACGAAATTTGTATATGTGTGATGAGAAAGCTAATTGGGGATCCGTCGATATATATAGCCCAATTTTTCGTCCAATACAATTATCAACTTGTATTGATTGGCTGAATATGTGGACTGCACTGATTTTTTTGATAATATGCATCTGACCGGTGTGGCGGTGATGAAAATTTTAGTCGAATCTTGTAAGACCCTTTTCACGTCATGATGGTATATAAGATGGGTATGGGGGTATGTTGAAGGAAAAGATATATCCAAGAGGTGTTAGTACGTTTTTACATCTCGAATTACGGCTTGGCTAGTTAATTTGCTCATTTCTACGCTTCACAGATCCTCTTCTCCAGCCTTAATGTCAAGCACCTCCAAGATTTTTTTTTCAGTCACTAGCCACCGTGTAATGCATATCGGCTATTGTTAAGTCAAATACAGGCAGTTTTTGCAAATTAAGTTGGTCCGATGTCTCCTTACCCAGTCCCTTTAACCCTATTCCACAATTCTAGCTGCGTTTCGGTAAAAGTAGCCAATAGAACAAAGTACGTTAAGTATGCATCCCGTCTTCGAGACTAAAATTCTAGTCACGAGGCAGACCCTAGATCACCTGATAACTTTAAATGAGATTAGGTTTCGGCCAAGGAAAAAAAAGGTGCAGCCAAGAAAAGGCTTAATTGGGACAGCTCAGATTCAAAAAAAAAGTGCGCTCCTCATCAGGGGCTCGAACCCTGGACATTTCGGTCGACTTCCGAATTGGAATCCTTAAAAGCCGAACGCTCTACCAACTGAGCTAATAAGGATGGAACACGTAAGAGTAAGGAACCGGATAAGTATATCGAGTCGATCGAGAAGATCGACGAGTTTTAACACACCTCACACCGCTCATTTTAGCTTCCTTTTTGGTCTTAAATCAAAATTTAATCAATATCTCTTGTCTTCACAAATGGACGGAAAATCGGGTTCATCAAGAAATCAGCCAAGCGAGCAGGGCATGTTTGGTGAAAATAGTTTTATGCATTCCAATCCGAGCCCTTCACAAGGCGGGATAACCAATCATGTTCATAACTCACCAGGAACAGTTATTTATAACCAGCCTTGCTATGTGAACTTGGTTGTTTCCCCCTCTAGCTCAGATCATGATGATCCTGTTTCATTTGGTGGTTCCACTTCTGGAAGCAGAATTCCTGAGGATGATGAACAGAACCAC